GTCTTACGAAATCGCAGAACTTCTTCAATATTAAAGCATATTGACAGCTTAAAGCTTGATGAGCATATTGAATTTTATCTTCTACATTTTCTTTGGTTACTATCATTCCATCGGGACTAGTCTCAAGTATTTTTTTAATGGTTAAGGAGCTATCACACATCGTTGGTGTGACGATTTTCAATTTACACCATCCGGGACACTTTAGAAGCATGTTCATTTCGTTAACTTTTCTTATCTTGATTGGATCGTATATTATTTTAGTGATAAACGAATCCATATTGTATTTAAAGCCGGAAAATTGGTCAAATGACTCTATAAACTTTTTCATAATTATATATACATTCTTTTTTAGAATAATCATTACAGCTTCAAAAGCGGTGGTTGGTTTTGTGATATTAATCATATCGTCAGAAGTGTCCTGTAATCTTTTACTAATTGGAACAATGTAACAAAAGTTCTTAAAGAATATGCTTAAGCGATGTTCAATTTTTAAAATGTTTTCGTCTATAGCCCGAATCGTATCTATAATACTTACGTTGTCGTATTGTGTGTCTGTTAAAGTTGTGTAGTAACTTTTGAAGTCTATTAAGATTTCAGGTATGTCCTTGTTGTACGGTATTTGTAAATCCAATTGGCATAAGCAAGAAAGTGCACCTTGCATACGAAGTAGAATTGCATCGGTTTCTTCGACTATCTCTATATAGTCATCTAAACATGACTTCATATGTAATGAATTATCCGTACTTTTGCAATAGGTCCCTATATTTCTCACGGTTTCACAGTACTTCTGCAGCTCTTTAGCATACATACAACTCAATAACTGATAAGCTAAGCGAATTTTGAATTGCACATTTTCGTTGGTTACGATTTGTCCATTGGGACTTATTGCAAGCAAATCGTTTACATAAGAACGTTGTTCCATTTCCAACCATCGCTCTGTGATCTCCAAGTGATTATCGTTACCTAACTTGGTCCATCCGAGATGGGTTAGGAGCTCGTTCAGCGGACCGACGGAATTTGTTGCTATCGAATCTAACAACATGACGAGAGTGTAAACTGAAATAAAATATATACTCTCAGCTTTCATATTTCTTTATTTTTTACTGCCGTTATTAAAGTCTAACAAGTACTATTTTAATTAAAACTTGCTTAAAGAAGTATAACTATTGTTACTTTATAAAGGCCAAAACAACAAACACTATTACACCACGTACAAATGTGTAAAATACTTCTTTACCTTTGAATTTTTATTACAAATAACTAACATATGTTCTAATATACGTATTCCCGTCCGCTCGTTTATGCGTTCTAATAATTTTTCTCGTGGTTACTAACATAAAAAATAACATTACTATTAAAATTATTCTCTAACGTTTAGTACATTAAAACCTGAAATTTTAGCAACGCATAGAATGGCTGTGCCCACATACTTGTTTGTAATATACTTGTTTATAGTTTGACATTTATGATTTACAATGTAAAATATTTTTTCCCGATATTTTGTTAGGATAGGTGTTTTGTTCATTTGTGTTAACTGTACGTGCGATATTTTTTTGATGTTTTTTGTATATAACATAATGTTTCATGTCAACATTATTGGGACATAATGCACTATTATCAAAGCAATAGTAAACAGTCTAACTTTGTACTACTATATGTCTACTGGATTTACTAAACGAGGTGATCCATTCAACGGAAGACACTCAATATCTATTAAAAAATATGTGCAGTTTTGTAGTTTTTCTTTTTGAATATTCTAAAATTGTTATTTATTTAGTTTCAATGTGGAGCAATGATTTTTACAATGATATATATATTTTTTTTTTGTTGTCTAGACCCTTATCTTTTAAATAGCTGAACCGATGTGTTTGTGAAGCAACTCTATATAGATAAAAAATCATACCTGAAAAGTTCTTAATGGGGTAACATTTTAAAACGTTCACCACTATTCCTTTAAATCTAGAAATACATCAAAATGATTATATATATTTTCAATTTAAAATTACTTCACTCTATAACATTTTTCAAAATAGTCGAACTAGATCCAAATGTGTATAAAATATTTTTAAACATAGTACTACCGTCTACCACACATAAAAAAAATGCTAACTAAAATGTTGGTTAATATAAATTTTGGGATACAACAAATTTCTAGTTAAAGCAACTATACATTTAGTTCGGCTAAATGTTAAGTTGGGTCAACTATTTATTTAGTTATTTTAACTAGAAATATGTTGTGTCCCTACATTAACTATAATTTTAGTTGGACCAATTATGTATTTTTTGCCAAGCAATAAATGTTACCAAACCAAACAAATATCATGAACCCTTTCCTCTAGAAGAGGTGGAAACTTTATCTTAATTTTTTTTTTAAGTGAAGTTTTTGGGGTTAAACTGCAATACCCAATTCCTATTGATAAAATAAAAATATAGCTTTAATCAATTATATCGGTTTTTTGTAATTTTCATATATATTACACATGTTTTCTGTAAGAATTTATATGCTTTATATTTTCCAAAGATATATAATCGTCAATTTATCCTGTTTAATTTTGTATGCATATTTATCCGATATTACCAAAATAATTGAGTAGGAGATTTGGGCTTTTTCATATGGATATTATGTAAAAATATTAATTAATATATTATAAATAAATAAGTAGATAGTAAAGATAACTTTGAAATGAAAACAAAAAATAACAAACCATAGAGTATTAAACATGAGTAAATAAAAATCATAAGTATACAATATTAAGGATTAAAAGTATTACAACTAGTGGACCATAATAAAGTTGCTGAACCATGAAAAAAATCAAAATTATTAATTTTGTTACATAAATACAATAAATAAAAAAGGAGACAAATACCCTCCCTGGGGCACACCTGATGTAACATCAATCACAGACGAGGTTGATTTTCCGATCTTAACCATTTGTTTCCTACCCTTAAGATATGATGAAAACCAATTTATCATCGGATTCCCTATTCCCATTGAACTCATCTTATTAATTAATAATGAATGGTCAACACTATAAAACGCTTTTTTTAAGTCTGTTTAAATGGCATCAATACGCCCCCCTTTAGAGACTACGGACATTAAGTCCGTGTAATATACTAACAAATTAGTAACTGTTGATTTAGATGATCTAAATCCATGTTTTAAAAGGCAATCGAAAACTTCCGGGATTGTAAGAGTACACTTTCTTAGATCGATACATTCAGACTGTATGTTATTGAATGATCCATTACTAATGTTACCAGAAGTTGAGTAAACTGAACCGAAATATTGACCAAACATATTTACTATATCATTAAAATTATAAGATTGAGAATTATCAAACTCTAAAAAAGTAGGTAAGAAATTTACCTTTTTACAAATTTTTACATAAGTCCAAAAGTATTTTGGATTGGACATTAAACTATTTTGTACCTTACACAAATAATGTGAGTAACAACTTTTTGACAAAGCCTTGCATAAAGCCTTTGTTTCTGAGAATTCATTATAGATAGACGGTGAACCATTTTGTTTTAGAGAATATTCAAAGTTTTATCCCTTTAAGTATTTGCTAGAGCTTTATTAACATTTGAAACTAAAATGGTAACATAAACTGGGTGTTTCACAAAGATAGGACAAATGAAATAACTTTTATTCTGGTGAACATTTTTTAATTAATTTATACTCATTTGCGCTATTAACACCCAGGATTTATTGCTTTAAGCTATTTCACTTTTTGTAATAATAAGAAAATAGACTAAAATTAATATAACTTTTATAAAAAGAATGAACAGAATTAGAATATTTTTCGTTTAAGCTGTCTGGATACATGGTAGATTTGGTGTCAAGTAGAATGTCATCCGAAACGATTTACGATTTCTTGGACTATATGCTGTGACCTTTGCCCAAAGCGTCAATCAAACTTCGAATCCCCGTTACTATTTCATCAACACGTGAGTTTTATTAATAACGTCCTTCGGTTAGGTTAACGTTTGGTACTAAAACATGTATACGTACAAGTGCCGAAATTTATGTTTCGAAAATATTTCTATCCATTATTGAAACTAATTTTAATTTATTTTTCACAATACATTTTATGCTATATCTGAATTATGATCTTTAAAATAAACTTAAGGTATTCGGTGGCGATGCGATTTTTGGCCTAAAATATGCAACAACCAATAAGGAATTAAGAAACTACACAAGATAGTATTTAAGCTGCGAACTATCAAGCAATTGAGCATTCAAGTAATAAATTATTTTTATCTTAAACATTTTTTAAAAATGTATAATGTTAATGCTACAAGATAAGCAAATAAATTAGACAGTCAGTTTACACAAAGAAAAATAATGTATTGATCTAAGCAAGGAGGCATTCAAAATAGAGATTAGACAACGGTTATTCACTAAGAGAAGTAATTATCATTTAAACCTCATTTAACACAACATTTTTTTTGTAATTTATTGACTTGGAGAATAACTTGGAGAGTTCTCGGTTTTTGCTATCCGTCTACAAGGTTTAAGTTCGAGAGTTCGTTTAATTAACACCTAGTAGTACCTTCTCTTTACTCGTGCAATTGTCTTGCAAATCGTTCGCACAGTGGTGGGTACTTCTTTCTTAAAGTACCCGGGTCTTGCGATTCGTTCGCACCTCGTACTTTATCCTTCCTTCATCTCTCCAAGTATTCGTGTCTTGCGATTCGTTCGCACCTTATACTTTTCCTCTCGACACACACGCGTCTTACGATTCGTTCGCACCTTGTACCTCCTTTCTCAATCTCTAATTCTTTTATATCCAGTGTAAACAACGGCTCTTCGACATCCACGAAGAACCCGGACGGCAATCCGTTATACTCTAGTGCTCTGACTAGTTTCAGTTCAACCAGTGTATACATCAAGAGTGTTGTGTCTATTACTTTCTTTTTGTCTTACAACACAATCTTCATAAGGAAATTAGAAACGTTAAAAAATAACAAGACATTAAAAAAAAATTCTTATTGCACTGTTTTATAAAAAATTAATATATTCATAAAGATATACAAATTTATATATTGACTCAATTGTGTTTTATGTGATAAAATTGTCTCAACAATAACAACAGTCGTAACTTCATAAAACATAAACACAAACAGGAATAGCCATCCAAATAATTGCGTTCAACCAGGACATACCGATGGACGTCATCAATAAAACCCACGTGTTGATGATATAGTTTCGGGGATTCGGTCTGTGTTGATTTATAAGTTCAATTGACGCTTCGTGTGAAGGTGGTTGCACATAGTCCAAGAAATCGTAAATCGTTTCGCATGACATTCTACTTGACACCAATTCCACCATGTTTCCAGTCGGCTAAAACGAATAATAATCAATGCATTAATATACTAAAACTCACTAGTAATTACAACGAGTGTTATAATATTTTTATTCTAAATATTAAAAGTCATACTCCATCACAATCCTGTATTTTCACTGATCACACTCACGTGTTCAAGGGATATTGCAATTTTATAGTCAAAGTCAGTGACACACTTGACAAAAAAAAATTCAGTACCACATAGTTCAATTAGAGTCATGAACGTTAAGTCTCAATTTTTTCTCACACCCCACTGAAAAAATGGAATAGGAAAGACAATGAGTCATGTGTTGCCTTACGGTGACACCGGACTAACAAGATCTGCTGATTCACCAATTCCCTCCCAACCCACAACAAAAAATTATAATATCCCTAGAACGTCACATTGTATAAAATATCTTCGTGGGACAAACTGAATGTATTAACAAATATCACTATTTTTTCTTATTGCGTATGATATCTGTGTACAATATAGTATACAATAAAGTATGAATATAATAAAGTATGAAATAAAGTATGAAGTGAAAGTATGTATAAATTATTACATAAATGTAATTAAAAAATGACGGAAAGATAACTAATTTTACCACTATGATAGGATATGTTAGAATAGATTTTATAATTACCATCAGAAAGCTTTTTACTCGGTAGACGTATTGTTGACATGTTGCAACGTAGCCGTTTGTCAGTACAATGGATGCAATAGTCATATTTAGTGCCATCAAACCACAAAAAGTAATAAAGCAAATCTTCACGTACGATACCTGAGAACTAACATGGTTTACATAATTATTAAATTTGAATAACTTCTAATGTTCTCCTGTATCAGGTTTAACAATTATGATAACAGTTCAAATATTTTTTTATTATATCCCTACCTCCAATTCGTAGGAAATAAGAGAATATTATTTTAAATAATACTATAACAACCACACGGGAAGTTATCCAGATGGCAAGATAGTAAGTCATTATTTTGAGAAATTGTTAATTAATGTGGAGGTACTAGAGACACCAGTGCTATAATTGGAAGACCATTAAAAGTGGAAGAGGAATAAAAAAAAGTTGAGCGAGAATAAAAGAGCGGTGAGTAGTCTAAACTAGAAAACTCTCACCTCTCAGGTTAGTCTAATTACTTATAAAAGGGACTTATTATGATACCTGTTGGCAACAGTGGAAACAAATTTGATATGCTGAGATATGCTGAGAATAACACGTTTAAATAGCTTCCTGTAATATTTGTGTCGGCAGTCTATTAGGACCCTTAATCAGATTAAGCACATAAAGTTAATTGAGTAATTATTTATTACTTTGTATTATGAATATAGAAAATTTGGTTTATTAGTCAAATTTTTATAATTTGTTTACTCGTTTTGAGTTAGAAAAAGTATTATATTTTTATATTAAATGTAAATTTTAATAATTGTTTTTTTCTTAATTATCAAACTTTAAAAAATGAATTCAATATACATTTTTTTAAATTGAGCACAACAAACAATGTAGATAAACTCTCATGCTTGAAGAAAAAATCATGGTTCATCAATTTTGGTCCAGCCATAAAAGCAACCATTACATAAGAGAGCCACAGGAAAGTTTTTTTGTTGGATATAAACCCTTAAAAGACAATTGTATGTCCGCTACCGTAATGCAACCTTAAATTAAGGTCCGCGTATATTGCAATTTAAAGGTAATATGACCTTTCGGTATCTTCTGAAGTACGGGCTGTGACATATGGCCGAGTTCCGGTCGAGCACAGAAGCGCTAAACCGTAACAGGCGCAAGCACACGCCGCGCATATAGCGGAAGCGGCCAGCGATCACCAGACATAACGGCACCGGTACTGCTCGCCGCCTACAAATGCGCCACCGGCGAAACTGGTACCATAAAGTATGCACTTGCAGTCGTGTACCGTGCAGTCTGCATCAAACTCGAAAAACCAGTACGACCAGACGGCTGCAAAGCACGCGGCGGCCACAGTGGCCGCACCGAAAGTGTACGCGCACAAGCCCAACTTGACGGCCACTACGGTTTTCATAGTAATGCTTCAACACTAATCGTCACACACCGGCGTGCCTATAATATGCGTCTTGTTATCTTTAAGTATATTTACAATATTGTTATTATTATTATTCTTACTATTGCCGATATTTACAAAATAATTAAATGCACACAAGAAAAATAAATTTAATAATGATAAAGTTATTACATAACATTAATACACTGTAATACGTCTCGACGTGACATCCAGTTATTTATGTTATCCTCTGTAGTTCTTTAGTATCGTCTGTATACAGAGTATTGAAAAGTATTTTTTTTATTATCGAAATTGCACTTTTCAAGTAAAAACTACGGTTTAAAAGCAAACCAGTACTAACGAAATTCCCAGTAGCGAGCAACGGAATATCACCTCAAAAATATATAATTTTTGATTTTGCAATTCAATAGTGGGGTCGGAAAAGTCACAGGATCTTAGGTTATTATTATTACTGAGAATTATTAAAATCACAAATCAATGCTACAATGAAAATTTGCTCTGCTTTTAATGCTGTAATATATACACATAAATAACGTTTATAATTGCAAATAAAATTATTGCATATTTATTTAAATTCAAATTAAATTACATATTTCTAAAATAATTCGATGCAGTTTGATTAAAAACATGATTAAAACAAGTTTTAGTCTCGTAACATTATACAATAGTCAAAATGCAACTTTAGGTTTATTGCATTTTTTTGAAAAATTAAAAAAATATATATGCAAGTTTACGTGTATTGTATATTCATATTGTATAACAAACTATAAAAAAGGTAGTTAACATGTTACTTAAAAGTCATTTTCAACAAAATAAATAATTTGGATAAAAAGTTTAAAATTTAATCTCTATAATATTAAATTAACAAAAATATTTTGTTGTGCAAATTTAAAGTGTAACCTTTCAGCTATTTTTTTACTTTTAATTTTTTCAATAAATCATGAAATAAAGACATTTTTAGTTTTTGGTCATTTACAATTGATTTACAAAAATCTACAGTCATATTCTCAGGATATAATTTCAATTTTACTGTTTTTATACTGTATTTTTAAAAACATTATTATTTAATGTATAGTTTTACAATACTATACAATTTTTAAATATTTATGATAATTTTTTAGAGCATAATCCACTAATGAAAATCAAAAAATAATATATTTCTCTGTTGTATTAGCTTCTCAAACTAATGTTATATTGCTAAACAGTTAAATTATTGAATTTTAAAACAAACATTATTCAATTTATAAAATAATCCACACTAATCAACGAGTATTAAATGTCTATACCTGTAGTTTATTCTGAATAACCTATTATACGGGTAGTGTTTGATGTCAAATCCAATATGAACCCATGAGCAGTGTAACATGATTCTACGTAATCGTTTATTCTTTTTTTAAAATCTTCTCCTATACGATTTATTGTGTGACCATTAGTGTTTATTGATTCCTTAACCTTAATAAAACGTTCTGGAAAGCAACGTCTTGTATAGAATACATCCAAGCTTTGTATGATTTCATCCAAGTATGTACTTACCGATGACCAGTAATCCAAAGATTTTACATATTGAAGCATCTCATGCTGTCCTTTAAAAACTTCTACGTCGTAATAAGCCTTGTAATCATATAAAATTTTGTAAATATCTTGGTGATACTCCATTTGTGGCGATAAATCATATAAAAACGACAGAGCACTTTGCATACGTCGAATTAACCGATCGCTGTGTTTGATGTCAATGCAGAATTTGTCCCAGCATTCATTTGAAGCATTAACATTATTTATACGTCGGCAATGAGACCACACATGACTTATGAAATCACAGCACTTCTTCAATACTAACGCATACTTACAGCTTAAAGCTAGATGAACATGTTGAATTTTATCACTTACATTTTCTTTGGTTACTATCATTCCATTTGGACTAGTCTCAGTTATTTGTTCAACTCCTATGTACTCACGGTCTGGTAGGCCAATGTACAGCAATGGAGGATAAAATTCTGACCACGGGGGATACTCTAGAAGTACGTTCATTTGATTAACCTTTCTTATTGTGACTGGATCGTATATTATTTGAGTAGTAGACGATTTATAATCGTATTCAAAGCCGGAGGAACTGTCGAATGACACTATAAACACATCTATTATTTCATCTACTCTTCTTTTTAACGTTAACATTATAGCTGGAAAAGGGGTGCCGGGTTTTGCAATATTATTCATTGTATCAGAAATGCCTTGAACCGTTTCACTGATTGGAACTGGCCAACAAAAGTTCTCAAAGAATATGCTTAAGCGGTGCTCAATATTCAAAATGTTTCCTTCTATATCCAGAATCATATCATTCATACGAGCGTTGACGATTTTTATTTTTTTTAAATTTGTGTAGTAAGCCTTGAAGTCTACCATGGTTTCAGGTATCTCCTTGTTGTACAATATTTGTGGGTCCAATTGGTATAAACAAGAAAGTGCGCCTTGCATACGAAGTAATATTGCATCGGTTTCTACGACTTTCTCTATGAAATCACCCAAACATGCCTTTTTATGTGATGGATTATCCCTACTTTTGCAATAGGTCCCAATATCTCTTACCGTTTCACAGTACTTCTTTAGATCTTTAGCATATTTACAGCTCAACAACTGATGGGCTAGTCGAATTTTGAATTGCACATTTTCTTGGGTTACAACTTGTCCGTTAGGACATGTTGCAAGTAAATCGTTTACATTAAAACGTTGTCCCGTTTCCAACCATCGCTCTTTGATCTCCAAGTGATTATCTTCATTTAACGCGACCCATCCAGGATGGGTTAGAAGCTCGTTCATCGGACCGACGGGATTTGTTGTTATCGAATCTAATAACATGACGAGAGTGTAACCCGATAAAAAATATAGATGTTCAACTTTCATGATTTTAATTTTGTACTGCGATTATTGAAATCTACTAAGTATTGTTTTGAATAAGTCACCTAAAAAAATATTACTTCTGTTACTATGAAAAACCCAAAACGACTAACACTCTTGCCACGTACAAATATGTAAAATACTACTTTACACTTAAATCATTATTACACATATACATATATACAGATTATAATATATTGCCATCCGCTAGTCTATCCGTTCTAATAATTATTTTTCTCGTGTTACCAACACAAAAAGTAACAATACTTTTAAAATTATTCACCAAAGTATAGTAGATATAAACTGAAATTCATATGGCGTATCGAAACCTGTAATTTAGGCAACACATAGTGTCGACTGTGCCTCCTTTTTTGTTTGTAATAGTATAGTTTGATATTTACTATTTGCAATGTAAAATATTTTAATCTAAATGTTCGTTTGTTTGTACAGACGACAGAAACTTTAAAAAAAGTAAAAAGAAAATAAAGAGTTCCTATTTGCTAACTGTATGGATTGTGCGATATTTTCTAGATGTTTTTTGTAGAAATATTATTCGTGGTAACATTATTGCTTTTTCATGCACTATTATCAAAGCAGTAGTCAACAATTTTACTGTAAACCACTATATGCATCTGGATTTAGTACAGAGCTCTTCCACTACTTGAAACTATATATATATTTTTATAAATGGTAATTTTTTTATCGTGAGCCACTCAGTATCTCATTTTTATATTTTTAACCCCTTCCAAACTAATTATTTTTATATCAACTTTTGAAACGTCAGTGGCAACATATACAGGGTATCCCACAAAGACCTGACAAATTAAAAAACTTTTATTTTAGTGAATATTTTAAAGACTTTTCTTTGTAAACTAACTTATACTCATTTGCGCTATAAATACTATGATTTGTATAGCTCTTAACTGTTTTACTTTTTTAAATAATTTTTATATTTTTGTTATATTTAAAAAAAATGGTTTAGAGGCAATTTGGATGAAAACTATCGACTACCTGGGACAAGAGGCAACTAATACATTTTGACCCAAAATGTTACAATAAGAAATAAAGGTCACCGGAGGGTATTCAGTTATTCTTGGGAAGCAACTAGTATATCATTTTGACGACTACCCTAGTTAGGCAACTAGCATACTCTGTTCGAATCGCTGAATCGATTTCTTAGTGGAACAGCTCTAAAGATAAAAAATCATACATAATTTTACCTAATGTTAATCATATGCTTCAAATATATTTTTAGTGTAAGATAGGATTAAGGTTGATCGTCCGTCAAAACAAGTGTGTTGTCATCGTTACCCATATATCTTAATTTTAAATATAATGAAAATATTTTTATTATCTGTTGACTGCCGATTCACTCAACATAACAACCTGGAAATTGACTACGGTCAAAGTGTAATTTTTCTCATTTTTGGGATTTTCCTTGATTTTAAAGAGGAAGGGGTGAACTTTTTTAATTTTTGGCCCAATAAAGTACCTTTTAGGTACGATGTCTAATCTATAGAGTTGGTACACAAAGAAATTGGCACTGCAGTTAAAAAGATATGGGTCCAAACACAAAAATAAAAACACTTCATTGTAAATAAAATCTCCAACAAAAACCTAACAGTGAAAAAGGGCCAAGTTCTAGACAGCCTATCAAAGTAGTAATATCTATGTTTACGCGTTGTACGCGTATGCGTTAATGTTGTTGTTCGTTGGCGTTCCACTCCCTCCTGTTTTTGTTGTTGTGACCGTCCTATGTAATTAAAAATAATCTAACCTGTTGTTGTTGCTCATTGTAATTACCGTTTTGTCGTCATTATCGTCGGTGGTCTTTTTCTTATACCACAATTTTTTTTTCTCTTTCGTATATATTGTGTTCCTTATTAGAAATTAATTCTAATTAAAAAACTAGTATTAAACAATTATTAATTTAATATTCTGGTATTATTAAAATAACGTCGTGGATATGCGATTCACAAGATCGTTTTTAGTGTATATAGATCTGTAAATAATAAAATCGTTCATCTCAACAACCTCGTGTTTATTGATATTCAGTCCGAGTCAATAACACTGACTTCCCTGGATTACTTCCTGTAAATTTCAAGTTTATTCGCTTCAACTGGCTGTCTGTGGAGTTTGCTGTTTGCGTAAGTCCTCTGAAAGTATCACACTTGTCACGTGGCCGCCGAGGTCATCTAGAGCCCAGCTGCGACGATTCACACCCCCGACCGTTCAACAACTGTCTGTTTGCTGTAATTGGCCGTCCGCGGAGTTTGCTGATTGCGTAAGTCCTCCATCATTATCACGAGGCCGCCGAGGTCGTCCAGAGCCCAGCTGCCACGCTACACCCTTGGTTGTCCGTAAACTGTGGCCTTTGATTTCGATTGGCTAAATTCGGAGTTGACTGTTTGTATAACCGTCAATCATTATATTGAATTCACCTCCGTCAATAGTATTTAAGTTAGTTTTAAGATGTGGACTGAATGTTTAGTTTTAAGATTTATCTTTTGGCCATTGCACTAAACGGAACCGGCCATAAGAAGCCCCTTATATAATTTCTATTTCCTGCAATCCGTTGTAAATATAAGCTGCCTCCTTTCTTTAAAACCCGCGTCGATCCCGTGTTGTTATTATCTAACTTTCCCATCTGCCATCTGAACAGCGAACAGTTATAGTGTGCGTTAGGTTGCCTACCCAAAATTGATAAGGCGTAACGACGCAATTTCGGCTTCAGTCTTTTTCTCGTGTCGAAAAATTTCGACTGGTCCTTCGTTCGTTTTATTTTGTTGCTTTACCATACAATCTACATTGTGGCCAAGTCTGCTATTTCTTTAGTTTATAACCTCACTTCACTCCTACTTTCAATTATATCTCCTTCCCATAGGAGGAAATAATAGACTATTATTTATTATAATGAAAACTACTATAACAGCCACACGAAAAGGTGTCTAGATGGCAATATTAAGTCGTAGTTTGTCATACTCAAGTTAACATAAAAATTAATAATATAAATAATAACGCAATGTATAATATAGCGTTGCAAAATTGCAATATGTTTTTTGTTAATGGTTTTTAAGGGTTTTAAAATGTTTTGCAATTTTACAACACAATGCACTGAGGAGATATACCTGTAATATTTTTGTCGATAGTCTACTATGATCCTTAGCCAGATAAAGCACATAATGGTAATTGAGTAATTATTTATTACTTTGTATTACGAATATAGACATTTTCGTTTATAAATCAAATTTATTATTATTTGTTTACTCGTTTTTGGCTAGACATAATTTCTTTTTTTAAAACTTAAAAAATTCTACATCAACAGTTTCCGGTAAGCATAGTGGTGTAATTGCAGAGGATGATCAGGATGAAAAAATTATGGTTCATCTATTTTAGTCCGGCCATAAAAGCAAGAACTACATATGGGAGCCAGGGGAAATTATTTTTGTTGGTTATAAACCCCTAAAAAAAATTGTAAGTATACTACCTTAATAAAGGCAGGCATATATTGCAATTTTAAGACAATATACTGACCTCTTAGCATCATCTGAAATATTTGCTGGGGCATATGGCCGAGTTCCTGTCGAGCACAGAAGCGCTAAACCGTAACAGGCGCAAGCACACGCCGCGAATATAGCGGAAGCGGCCAGCGACCACCACACATAACGACACCGGTATTGCTCGCCGCCTACAAATGCGCCACCGGCGTAACTGGTACCATAAAGTATGCACTTGCAGTCGTGTACCGTGCAGTCTGCATCAAACTCGAAAAACCAGTACGACCAGACGGCTGCAAAGCACGCGGCGGCCACAGTGGCCGCACCGAAAGCGGACGCGCACAAGCCCAACTTGACGGCCACTACGGTTTTCATAGTAATGCTTTAACACTAATCGTCACACACCGGCGCGCCTATAATATGCGTCTTGTTATCTTTAAGTATATTTACAATATTATTATCACTGCCATTGTCGACATTTACAAAATAATAAAACGCACACGAACAAAACAAGTTAGATAATGACGAAGTTATTACATAATATTAATTCACTGTAGTACATCATGACGTGACGTACAGAAATGTTATCTGAAAATGTTACCATTACAATTATGTATACAGTGTACAGACGACACTCAAAATTAACGTGAACATCAATATATTTTACACAGTGTAACGATTAAATTGTGTAAGACGTCACATAGGTCTGTAGTTTTGAAAATTAATTTATATCACCATACCACGACTGAATTTATACTTTCAATTAAAAACTCGGATTATAACTCTGAACAGTACTAACAAAATTCATAGTGTTGTAGCGAGCAACAGGATAGCCCCTCATATATAGTTTTTTTTTTTAATTTTAATTATTTATTTTAAGTATTAACGCCTTACGGTAATTTACGCGGTAATACAATATTCACAGCACAAATAAGAACATATACAATTTTAACAAAAAGACAGTAAACAATAAAATATAGAGTTATATACGACCAGATAACAGAAAGTAAATAGTTAGAATGTACTATAGGCGTTATTGACACTACGAAGCATACGGTGGAACGGATGTTTGTGGTCATAAGAGGTGCAGTAAGTAGGGATATGAAAATGTGTATAATGCCTTCAGGAATAAGTCGGGATGCGGAAATTAATAAAGGAAGGAGGTCAGGGGCATATATAGACCCATCAAGTAAATCTTGAATGAAACGAAAATCGGCATCGATTCGACGAGAAGAGAGTGTTATTTAATGATCCAAGTATGGTTGAGTAGTCATGTTTTGAGTAAGAAAGCAATATATGAAAGAAACCTATTATGAACCTTATCTAGCCTTAATTGGGTTTTCGCTAAGTAAGGGTGCCCAACTATCACACCGTATTCTAAGATTGAGCATATAAGAGAGAAGTAAAGAATGCGGAGACAGCTGACGGAACTAAACATAATCGTATTACGCTTTATGAAACCCAGGACTTTCAGCATTTTGCAGACGGTAATATTAATGTGATGATTGAAATTTAATGAAGGGATAAAATATATACCGAGATCTATAATAATAAAGACACGTTCCAGCGGGGAGGGAGTCATAGCATGACAAATGGCTAGGTTCATACGTAGACCAAGACGATAGACCTACTATTTCTGCGAATTTGTCCAATATATTTTGTATTCACAACGTTTCAAATAGAAATAAATAATTAATTCAATAATTTAAGGGGACAAATTATCTATGAATTGTTTTGGGCCAGATGTTATGAAAACACTAAAATATTAGTCAGCAACTTGATATGTATATTAGCCACCTTAGATACATAGAAATGTATCCCTTGGTGTTGCAGACTCGTACGCAAGCTGTTAAAATATAATATGTAATACTTATGTAAAAACTTTAATAGAACCTTGCAAACATTTGACATTTTAACTTTTAATTTAGTGCTATAAAATAAATGAGGAGCAGGCGCGTAGTGGAGTGAGATAAAGCGGCAATGTATCCACGCACGGTCGCCGGTTCAAATCTCGGCCACTGGCGGTTTGTTCCTCCGGGCGGGCAACTGTCTGGGGCAAAAAACGGCCACCTGCACCTCTCTCTAGGACCAACTTGTTTGGTAGTGATAGGTCGGTAGCCAGCTCTAAGCCCAAAATTGCCAAATCTAAACCGTCTAAGACCCGATTGGCGGAAATAACGGACGTTAAAAGTAAGGGAGTGAGAAAGAGAATTAAGTGCTATAAAATAAAAAATATATTATAGTAATGTTTAGTTTTGGTTTGGTAAAGACTTCTTAGCTTAGGTTTTATTATGTTTGATTTAGGTTTGGTCTAGTTTTGGCTTAGGTTTGGTAATGTTTAGTTTTGGTTTGGATTAAGTTTGGTTTAGTTTTGGTTTGGTAAAGGCTTAACTTAGGTTTAGTTATGTTTGATTTAGGTTTAAATTAGTTTTGGCTTAGGTTTAGTTATGTTTGGAATAGGTTTGTTAAAGCCTTGGCTTAGGTTTAGTTAGGTTAAGTTTGATTTAGGTTTGGTTAGGTTTTGGCTTAAGTTTGGTTATGTTTGATTTTGGTTTGGTTAAGTTTTAGTAAAGGTTTGGCTTATGTTTGGTTTAGGTTCAGTAATGTTTAGTTTAGGTTTGAATTAGGTTTGGTTTACTTTTGGTTTGGTAAAGGCTTGGCTTAGGTTTAGTTATGTTTGATTTAGGTTTAATTTAGTTTTGGCTTAGGTTCGGTAATGTTTAGTTTTGGTTGGATTAGGTTTGGTTTAGTTTTGGTTTGGATTAGGTTTGGTTTAGTTTTGGCTTAGGTTTGGTAATGTTTAATTTAGGTTTGGTTTAGACTTGGCTTAGGTTTGGTCATGTTTAGTTTAGGTCTGTTTGAGGTTTAGCTTAGGTTTGATTTAGTTTTGGCTTAGGTTTAGTTAAAGTCACAAGGCTATATGTTATTATTGTTATAAGAATAAAAACAAAGTTTTTCAGCCAAGTCTGAAACCACGAAAGAGCATTTTCATGTCATATCTTTCACCGCCAACCCCATCTCCATGTGGTAACGCTTTTTTCGGTTGTGTGCCAGAACTAAGACATGAAAATGTCAAAATATGAAAATCACTAAGAATGATTAAAATCACAAACAAACGATTCAATACAAATTTGCTCTGCTTTCAATACAATAAAATATATACATAATTAATAACATTTATAATTGCAACTAAAACCGTTGCATATTTATTTCTAAAATAATTCTATGCTGTCTCGTTATCTCGAATGCAATTTCGGACTTATTAAATTTTTTTGAACAAATAACTAAAACATAAACATGCAATTTTACGTACATTGCCTATTTTAAATTATAGAACTAATTAAATACGAGGTGGTAACATTTTACTTAAAAGGAATTTTCTATAAAATAAATAGTTTAGCTAAAAAAGTTTTAAATGTAATCTTTATTATTTAAAAAAAAACAAAAATAGTTTTTTGTGCAAGTTAAAATATATTTTAATATTTTTTTACTTATTTTTAATATTTTACGTTGTTTGGCCATTTCAATTGATTTTTAAAAACCTACAACAATGTTTTTAAGTAGGATGACTAACAGTGATCACTATCGGAAAAAACTGAAATTTCACTAATATTATTGCTTTATACTGTATTTTTAATAACATTTTTATTAGATTCGTAATTTTACAATAGTATAATATTTCGAAATATTTATAATAATTTTTTGGAGCACAATCTACTGATAAAACTTAAAAGTAACATATAAGTTGTGTAAGCTTTTTACACACGTATTATATTGCTAAACAGTTTAAATATTTTATTTTAAAACAAATATTTTTCAATTTATAAAATAATCCACACTAATCAAAGAATATTAAATTTCCATATCAGTAGCGTGGTCTGAATATTATATTGTACGGGTAGTGTTTGATGTCGAATCGAATATGAACCCAAGAGCGGTGTAAGATGATTCTACGTAATCATCTATTTTTTTTTTAAAAGCTTCTCCTATACGTTTAATTGTATAATTACTAATGTTTATTGAGTCCACCATCTCAAAAATATCACTTGGCCAGCAATAAAGCCAAAAGAATGATCGCAAGCGTGCTGTACATTTCGGATAACCCGTAACTCAAAGATTTTATAAATTGAAGCATCTCATGCTGTCCTTTAAAAAGTTCTACGTCGTAGTAAAGCTTGTAATCTTCTATAATTTTGTAAATGACTTGGTGATACCTCATTTGTGGCAATAAATCATATAAATACAACAGTGCACCTTCCATACGTCGAATTAACCGATCGCTCTTTTTGATTTCAATATTAAATTTGCTCCAGCAGTCATTTGAAAGAGACACGTTATTCATTCTTTTGCAATGATCCCACACATGTCTTACGAAATCACCACACTTTTTCAATACTAAAGCATACTGACAGCTTAAAGCTTGATGAGCATATTGAATTTAATCTTTTACATTTTCTTTGGTTACTATCATTCTATTGGGAAGAGTCTGCAGTATTGCTTTGATTCCTAGAAGGCGTCTATGCAGTGGGACGATGTGCAACATTCGATACAATGCTGACCATCCAGGACTCTTTAAGAGCGTATTCATTTGGTTAACGTTTCTTATTGTGACTGGGTCGTATATTATTTAAGTGGTAGATGATTTCGTAACGTATTCAAAGCTGGAAAATTGGTCAAATGAATCTATTAACACTTTCATAATTGTAAATACTTTGCTTTGAAGCATTAACATTACAGCTGAAAAAGGGGTGCCGGGTTCTGCAATATCACTTACAGTATCAGAAATGCCGTGAACCGTTTCCCTGGTTGGAACTGGCCAACAAAAGTTCTCAAAGAATATGCTTAAGCGGTGCTCAATATTCAAAATGTTTCCTTCTATATCCAGAATCATATCATTCATACGAGCGTTGACGATTTTTATTTTTTTTAAATTTGTGTAGTAAGCCTTGAAGTCTACCATGGTTTCAGGTATCTCCTTGTTGTACAATATTTGTGGGTCCAATTGGTATAAACAAGAAAGTGCACCTTGCATACGAAGTAGTATTGCATCGGTTTCTACGACTTTCTCTATGAAATCACCCAAACATGCCTTTTTATGTGATGGATTATCCCTACTTTTACAATAGGTCCCAATATCTCTTACCGTTTCACAGTACTTCTTTAGCTCTTTAGCATATTTACAGCTCAACAACTGATGGGCTAGTCGAATTTTGAATTGCACATTTTCTTGGGTTACAACTTGTCCGTTAGGACATGTTGCAAGTAAATCGTTTACATTAAAACGTTGTCCCGTTTCCAACCATCGCTCTTTGATCTCCAAGTGATTATCTTCATTTAACGCGACCCATCCAGGAAGGGTTAGAAGCTCGTTCATCGGACCGACGGGATTTGTTGTTATCGAATCTAATAACATGACGAGAGTGTAACCCGATAAAAAATATAGATGTTCAACTTTCATGATTTTAATTTTTTACTGCGATTATTGAAATATACTAAGTATTGTTTTGGATAAAACTTGCCTAGAGATATATTACTCTTGTTATTTTGAAAAACCCGAAACGACTAACACTCTCTACCACGTACAAAATAAATAACAATGAAATATTTTCTCCCAAATTTTCGTTTGTTTGTACAGATGATAGAAACTTTAGTACTCGTGTTGTAAAAAGAAAAAGAATACATATTATGTGTTAACTGTATTGCCGTCCGTTCGCCTATCCGTACTAATAATTTTTTTTTTCGTAGTTGCCAACATAAAAAGTAACAACACTTTTAAAATTATTCACTAACGTACAATAGATTTAAACAGAAATGTATATGGCGTATAGAAACCTGAAATTTAGGCAACACATATAGTGTCGGCTGTGCTCACATTCTTGTTAGAATAAGTATAGTTTGACATTTACGATTTTCAATGTAAAATATTTTCTTCTAAATTTTCGTTTCTTTGTACTGACAGAAACTTTAGTTTTGTAAAAATAAATTTGAAAATGTATATATGTTAGCTGTATGGTTTGTGCGATGTTTTCTGAGTTTTTTTTTTTTTGTAGAAATAATATTTGTGAGTCAAAATCAAATTTTATTTCAATACTTACCACGGTGTATAAAATTTAATGTTTAAAAATCGTTAAATAAAACCCTAAGGAGATGTATTTAAAATTCCAATATGTAGCGCAACTCGTATTGGAGAGTGGTACTGCTCCTCAAGTCGAGACAGCACGTCTGTATAATCTATTTGACATTACAGAGGAACTTCTTATTGTTAGATTCGGTCAACAAGTTAAATTATACAAATAATATTTTCATTTATTTTACAATGGTTCAATGTTTTAACAACGCTTTTATAATTATCATAATTGAGTAAAAAATAGATTCAACCTAGTCATTATGGTCAAATAATTGTTTATTTTACACAAAATGTGAGAAAAAAACATGTTGCCGAATATTCATAAATATAATAAAAAAACACGCTTGTCCCAAGTTGAACGGCGAGTTCTCTCGTGTTAATATACAATATTGTTGATTCCTAAATAATCAGCTTAGCGTCAGTGAAGATATAATCAATAGTTTGAAGTGAAGACCGAATTAAATTACATTTGAAAATAAATAATGTAAACTTTGCATTAAGTGCGAGACTTGGAGTGACTTCAAAAAGGTCAAACAGGCAATTGACAAATCGCATTGTGCACTGGAATAGCGACGAATCCGGCCATAGTAATACCAAGGCAATCGGCCAGTGAAGTCATGGACATAGCGAATTCCCGACGTTCTTTTGGAACCTATTTAACATCAAGTGCACATTGTTTTAGCGGTTATTTTTACTATATTATATTAGAACCTTGTTAATATCAACGACAGTATATTATAAATTCATTTATTATACCTTTTTAACTATGTTGTGATATGTATTGACGTAACCTGATCCTCCCAGTAAACCCTCATACGCAATAATAACAAACACTATAAATATATTTGGCGTGAACGAGTAGACAGTTTGCGTTAAAAAATATATTAAGTTAATTCCCTGTAAAAAAAGAACAAAAATTAGATATGTAATTTTAATATTATATATGTTAATCTATTAGGTATTTACAATATTTAACAACAACAGCAAGGAAATTGAAATATGTGAAATCGTACTTAAGGAGTACCCAATGGCGTCATTTCAGTTTTAAAAGGGAGGGGGAGGAAGTTTTAACCGGCCCATATAGGTAGCTGGAAAAAAATCACTACTTTATTGACCGTAATAGTTTACCTGCAATATAGCTAGTATCCAAAGTTTTTCAATCGGGAACAGGCTGACGGTGGACCTAGACACGAACACTCCTACTTGATACAGCACTTGATACCATCTGTACTGCTCGGCATGCGTTAACCAGATATTTCTAAAGTACACCAATTCAAACTGAAACGAACGCAGTCGATTAAATATTAGACACAGAAATCCATTTGACATGGACAATATATTACTCACTAATCCTTGGTTTATTAGGTACTCGAAAAAATAGACCATGCCCAACGGCAGCATAAACTTAATCAACGAAGGCAGATAAGACAATTTGCCGGCGAACGTGTCGGCGGTCTTTCGTGTACTATCGGACAAACTATCAGCACTGTCGGTAATCGTATGCACCGCGTCCAAGTCAGGGTGGACGAGCAACACCCAAAATCTAAAAATGTAAACGTTTTACTGATGATACATGCGATCGAATGTAAAAAAAAAAAACAAAAAAAGCCAAACACTCACGAGAACGCCATAACAAAAGGTACCACGAGCATCAGGTACATAGTAGTGGAAGGAGTCAATTGTAGGATTCCGGTCAATCCAACGTAAGTCAACGCTCCTAAAATTCCAGCCGCTCCTGTTCCCGACGACCATGTGGTTATGGCATTTCTAACAACAATCAAACAATTTAATTTAGCGTTGGTGAGATCTGGAGAAAAGGCAACACCATCTCTTGCCCACAATCCGAACATTAACAACAGCTATTCTTACCGGTCGAAATAGCTCATGTAAGCCAACAGCGTTGGTTCGCCGAGACCGGAAGCCAAGGATGTCAACGCCACGCCAATGGTAGCTACAAATTCGGTTTTCGCTCTAGCCACGGTCAAGAAACTGGCGACGGTCAAACCCAGGCAAACGCATATTCTCCGGCTAAATCGTAGTAATAAAGACCGTTTATTATAACATGTGATTCCTATACTAGCAATTATAGACAATTTTTTTTTTAAAAATGGGTTTTTATTTATTCAAAGTGGCCACGCTGTATTTCATAGTGTGTAAAACTGTAAAATCAAACCAAGAAAATTGTGTTTGGTGTTACATAATTATTGCTCATCGGACCAAAATTATTTCAAATACAGCCATAACATATTATGTTAAAAACATATGTTTTTTGACAGTGAAACAATTATTTATAAGAATAATACAATTCTTATAAATAATACTATCATATTTTATAAATAATGTTACATATTATACTATTCTTGTATCTTTAATTTTAATGTTTCAAAACCACCTTTATGATAAATTGAATTTAAAAACCAGCTATATGTAAAAAAAAAAGCTCCAATTTATTGATGTCAGTAAAACCATACATCACTAGATTATTCTCTATACAGTGATCAATGATTTCTGATTATGAAATCCGTAGCGATTAACATAACATTTATGGTCTATGGTCAACAATCATGGTCTGTAAAGCTCTGCGAGTTGTAGCTATCAAATGTTTGTTTACCTGAATCCTGATTGTATGACTTACAACCAAGTAATAATTATTAATTCATAAATTAACCAAATACTTACTTGATGTATAAAGGTATAAACGGTGAGATCATCTTCACCATGAGACCTGGTAGAATGTCGGCTAAAAGTATGACACCGGTCGACAGATGATTACAATCCCGGGCATGTTCGTCTGATTGATTATGGATCGTTGAATTGCCTGTCTATAATACAATTATCATGTTACATTTTACTTTAAAATACAATTTCAATAACTTTAGTATGTTTTTTAGTTCTAAAAAAAATAGTAATTTTACTCTCTTAGAATTTATTTATACGGTCATTCCATTTTTAATTAACAATACGCCTTGTGCCTATTTTCATTTATCGTATATATAAAGTAAATAATCGATAATGATATTAGTATTCAACACACATACTACTGGTATTTAAATTAAATCCATAAGCATGAAAGCCTGGCGTAGATAAAACGACAGGACAGTACTTAAGAAGTGTAAAATTTCATTCGAAATAACTTAGGAAGATCTAGTTTACACGATCTGTTTTGTTAAGACGTCTAGTTTTAAACGGAATAATTTTAAGGGTTTTTACTTCATTAAAAATAGATTACTACTTTGAATTTTGCGAACTTGGAACTTTGACCTTTTGTACCAAAAACCACCATCACCAATAGTTATTAAAAATATCACATATTGGTTTACTATAAGTATAGTAAAGGTGTGCAAAATTTCAAGATGGTCATTTAAACACTTTGAGAGTTGCAGACTACAAAAGTTTTTTAAAAAATAGTAGGTAAGTGAAACTAATATATAATAATGATATGGACATTATTACCGTCTCCTTGATGTCAACTTAGCAAATATTAGTTAATTGCTCGATTTTTAAATTTAATGTTTAACATTAAAATTGATAGTTTTTTGGCATTATGCCGTTCGAATATCATTATTTACTTTACACACATGATAAAAGACTTGAACAAAGGTGAGATAAATGTTGATTATACATGGAATGATCCTATAAATTTTGTATAGCTAACTGACTACACGATCGAGGCAATGTAACTCTATTGTTTATGTCAATAAATGCATAAGCGAATAAAGACTGAATGCGGTTATTTGATTTTTATTGTGAATATAATATCAAGCCAGAATACAAGTGTTCGATCATTTATCATTGATCTTCCAACTAGCCATTTCTCGCGCTCGCTTATATTCTCAATAAAAACACTTGTAAATAATTATTAGATGTAAATTTACATGTAGTTAAAAAACCACAAATTTCACCTACTTGATTGTTAGGCGGAGACAAGTTTTTGAGTATATCGTGTGCACTGCTCAACATGACAACATAACCGAAGTTGTTGCAAAGGCCGAGCAAGAAAAACGCCAGCAACGTGTACAAACGCTGTTTTCTTGTACTTTTGTCCGTTTCATCGATGTCGCTCATGGTGACTTACCGACCACAATTAATTGATATTGTCACCTATACAAACTGGAGGACGGTCCGTCTAAAACTATCAAAAACAATACAATTATATAAGGCGACATATTATACAACGGTTGTAAAAAAAAAAAAATGCCAATAACCTATAGAACCTGACGCGGCTACAATACTAAATACTAATTCGTACAAAAAACCGCTTTCATGTTGGCTATGATATACTTACAAAATCAATATTAATACATTGGAGGATTTTAGTAAAATATAAGATGCGGATGTACATTACACAGATATTTACACAACATAGATTTGACATGCCATAAAAAAATTCCATAGGTACCAATTTTTTTTTTTTTTTGTAAACTTTATGACACAGTATAATCTTATATTTTATTATTAAAAAAAACAAAAGTTTTGAAATAAATAAATCTCAATAAAATAATATTAAAAAGAACCCTTAACCATACAAATTATATATTCTCCGCGTATACAACGTATTTCGGCAACAATGTTGTCATTTTCAGCGCTCACGGCAGACTGTCACGCGGAGAGTATATAATTTTTATGGTTAATGGTTTTTAATACTATTTTATTACATATATCTAACCATAAGTGGCTTAAGTTTTTTGTAAATCTCAACAACAAATATTTAAATAATTGTGAAATAATGAGCCGCGTGACATATTATTATGTGTAAAAATATGATCTAAAAAACAAGGTTATTGTCAATGAGTTCAAAAGAATACTGTATAGTGTATACAATATATATTTGACGATTAACTACCGTTTGCTTATAATTTCAAAGTCTCATAATCCTTGACACAGTCTTATACAAAATTGTCTCAATACCAATACTAGGTAAACGAGTTTAAATGTAATAAAATATATCGTACGAATACCATAAATACCGAACTAAGTATAACTCATATTGTCACTGTAACTTATGAATATTTAAATACTGATAAGCAACTTGAGATGAAATTGTGTAATATCAATTAGCAATGGCACTGAATCGAATACACAGTTCTCAACTAGCAGTATAGACAGCTCTAACTATATTATTATTGTAAGTATAAAAGATTTATTATTTTAAAAATATCGTGAAAATGTATTTCAATTATTTGTTGGTATAATGGTTTACTATAAACAATAGATTTTTTTTGTGCTGTAGGTATGTTTGGTTTATAGGTTTACATAAAATGACGTTTTAAGTGACCTCAACACTAGGATAGGTGTTTTTTTACTATTAATAAGTCATATTTGTATTTATTAAAACTTATATTGTTTTCGTAGTAACAACATGATTAAACTTATCAATTAAAGGTAACTAATTAAAATATATATTACGTAAATCAAAGACTACGATGATTTTTATGTGTATTATATTCTATTTTCTCAAAAGGCCATGACGGCAACAATATAAGATGCAGAAACCAACCCGTACTTCTCATACTTATGATAAATACACACCTGTGAGTACATCGACATATGACTCCGCAACTCATACAGCCACCAACATCACTGTACCAACAATTGAGAACTATATTAACACAACATTATGGTAACAAGAACACTAGAGATAATTAAATGTTACTCTCTAAAATACTGTCGAACGTTAAAATATAATTCGGCTAACCGAAATCGAGTGTAGATATTTTCGGCTCTTACCGAACGTTAGTGATTGCAAACGTATTATTGATTTATTACTGCAAAGACTTTATAGTTTAAGCACTTGAATTATTTACAATAACGTTCCCGGCTATGACCTGTCAGTTAATCTGACTTAGCACTCGAATAGTAGTGATAGATTTTATGCAAGCTATATTTTTTTACAATTATCGTCGTAAAAACTAATCGCCATTGGACATAGACATTTTGTTATTGCATATTAAAATATGTCCGGTAAACTGGTTTAATCTTCTAAACAGATAAAGTGTTGGTTTTTTCGAATAATATTTAATAGGTATTTACCAAAAAAACAATCACTTAATACCGTTAATCCACTTGTAAACGTGTTTACATAACATTATAGTGAATTAATAAGATATATTAAAAACACATGCCGAGGATATACCACCGAATGCTTAATGTATCAGTTAAGTCATGTACTAATAACATTTTCTTGCAACAACATTAATTTTATTCACTAAATTAAAAAAAAATGTAAAAACATACTATGTACCGACCATATTTTGTTAAACCAAAAAACCACATTTAACAGCTTTTGAAGAATAAGCGTTTTTCACAATGTTTCCCATAAGTTCTTACCTAGTGTCATTCCATGTGGCATTTACAAACACATTTCCAGTAATACTTTTTATATTCAATAAGTATTTACTCTAAATACTAAAAAAAATATAATTACATAAATTTGGCTTCCTAAGTGCATTTTTGAGCAATTAATAATGATAGCCCAAAAAATAAATTAACTAACAAAAAAAGAGTCCAAATTACTGAACTAATAATTACACATCACAGTTTTACCTTTAAATTAAGATTTATGCAAAAAATTGCATATACCTAACTCCTTAATAAATGGGGGTATGACGTCCTCTGAATAGCTTTTACAGATCCTTAGTATCTTGTGAACTAAATTTCCCCTAAAAGTGGTAGAAAAGTATCTAGTTTTTGAATGCTTTAGATCATAATAATAATAGATTATACTGGAAACAGATTTTTTTGTTGTTTTTTTTTTATGTAAATAAATTACACTTTAATGTTGAAAACTATTCAAATTTAATTGGCTCAGGTACAAAAACACTTAATTTTTTTAATGAAATTCGGTTTACCTACATCGGGTTACTTATTTGTAATGTTTTTACTCTCTATGTAGTAAGGACAAGAACCCCTGTACGAGATCTAGGAATAACGTGAGATCTCTTAACTAAAATACCTAATTGGGAATCCTAATTGATTCTGGTAGGGTTTCAGTTTTTTTCTATACGGGAGTCCCGTTTGAGAAACTTGGTATAAGCATATCTTTGGGGGTTACCGTTGATCTTTGGGTAACTTACAATAATAATTTTACTGTATTATTAATACATTATTATTAATACTAACCATTGGTACAACTAACAGCATCGTGATCAGCTTGGTATACTTTAGTTTACTTACAGATATTTGTGGTACATGTACTTAAAAGCCGGTAGAGTGATTTGAACCCAAACAATTAACTTTTAACAGCGACCATTAAAATTAAGTTACGCGAAAAAATGATTATTTCATAATAAGTTTTATTTTTTAAATGCACTTTATATACAAAAAAAACATACACTATAAAAAAATTCGTTTTAAAAATAAGCTACTTAAAAATTGATAAATAATATCAGGGGTTCGGAATTCGTTCCTATTTGACTCATTTCTCTTTTATGTTCCGGAACAAATACCCGGAACTCGTTCCTCAAGATATTCGTTCCGGAGCAAATACCCGGAACTCGTGTGTAGACTAATGTGTCTATTGTTTGTAAAATACCACACACAAAGGCTAAAGTAACAAAAAAAATGTGCACCTTCAATAAACTCGAACGAAACAACATAATACGTAGAACAAATACATTTTGCTCCATTAGTAAATTATTAATAATGACAAGGAACAATTACATTTTATTTGTTCCGGAACAAATATCAAAGGAACGAGTTCCGGGTATTTGTTTCGGACCGAATATTTCGAGGAACGAGTTCCGAGTATTTGCTCCGGAACGAATATCTCAAGGAACGAGCTCCGGGTATTTGTTCCGGAACGAATATCTGGAGGAACGAGTTCCGGAACGAATATCTTTAGGAACGAGTTCCGGGTATTTGCTCCGGTACGAATATCTTGAGGAACGAGTTCCGGGTATTTGTTCCGGAACGATTACAACAGGGAGTTATGAAGGAACATGTTCCGGAATTAGTTCCGAACCCCTGAATAATATTCAAAAATACCAGAATAACCGCACGATTTACCTGTTTTACATGAACAGCAAACTGATTGTTGGCTGCGCATTCAAACACTCGGCTAATCCGCTAATCTAACCTGAGGTTATTATTTACTTGGAGACCGGTACTCAAAATTAAATTAACTCTATTTGCTCTGTCTATTAAATTACTTTTTTAAAAATTCTACTAGATAATAAACGTTGTATTTTTAATTATCGCCATTTATCAGTATTTCGATTAGAAATATTTAAAACTTTAAATACACATTATTTAGCTCTCAACCGTATTCAGTTTAAACGTTTTACCTTTGAAAAATAATATAAAGTTTTGGAATTGTATTATTTTGTCAAAATGCGTTTGATAATAAACAAACAACAGCTGCGTAAATATAATGAAAGTAAACTGTAAAACACAAAATTGTTGTCGTTTACGCTGAATAAACGAACGCAGTTACAACAATACACCAATTTGGGTTTCAGTTTAGAGCCTAAAAAAGTTATATGTGCTAAACTCCAATTTGTATTTAGTGATAAATGAAAATATAGAAAAATCATTGTAAACAATTTCCGTCGTAAATACTTTGTTTACCTCTTTTTTCTTTTGCAATGCATGTTTTTTTTTAATTTACAAAGCACAATATTGCACTAGTATTCGGTGTTTCAAGTAGAGGTACTGAATATAAATTATTGATAGGAATCCGCAAATCCGGATTTTCACAAAAAAACGTTATTTAAGCCACTTATTAAGCATTAAACATTATTACAATAATAATATATTATAATATAATAATATAGTGCTGAGTACTCAAGTTAAAAATTTTTAAATAAAACGCCTAATAATATACAAATATACAACTACTATAAATAAAATGCGTTTAATTAGGTAGGTACTAACTATCAAATTATAATAGTGTAGTAAACTATGGTCGAGTGATAGTTTTCTTCCGTTCTACACGGGTAAAATTAAATTGAACTACGAGTATAGTAATTCGGGTACAATATAATATGAAAAATCAAATGCAATTTGTGGGGAACGAAAAACAAAATATAGGACCATAAACTTAACACTAACGTGTCTAATAAATGTTTTATTGACAGTGTCTGATGATCATACTACTATATTTATGCAATACTATACCTATTCAAATATTTTAACAATTAGTTCAGTGATCGACTATAAATACAGCTGTGCAAAATTATTCAAATGATGAATAAGCCTTGTGTTTTTTTTTCATAATGAAATTAAATTAATTACCATTACAAATAATTACTCATTAATTTAATACAAAATTCTTGAACTAAACGCATTATTTTCTTAATTATTCAAATACAAATGTATTGTATAGTTCCCATCTCTAGTGATAGATTACATATATATCTAATATTGCATCATCTTTTAAATAATAATATTTAATTAAAATACATAACAAAATTACATTTAAATCACCTAATCTATTCAGTTTAAATTAATTAGTTGCATTATAATAAGCACTTCAAAAAAACATCACTTTCAAGTTATTCAAGTGAAAATGTTTAATAATATTGTAGAATATTTTACAACCATTTTTAGAATTAAAATTTTTTTAGCTTTATGGGAATTCTGGTAGGTAGTGATTTTTTGTTATTAATCTAAAGCTTTGGTCACATTGAACATTAGCAACAAGTTACATGTTATTAGTGGTCTATTAATTAATTGTTATTTATTTCATTATGTTTCCATAGTTATAATATTAGTATATATTAAAATCAATGGTAATCAAATATTTCCTTATGAGCTTTTACCACGATTATAAACATTTTAATGGTGGCTTGTATCATACTAATTAATATTGATAATAGGTTTGAAAATATTGATTATCTAATTATATTCTTTTAACTAAAGACACCGTGTAAAGAGCATTAAGCGCTACAGTAGAAAATAGCGCAACTTTTTGTTTCCATAAGAACACATTTAAAAAGTAAAATAACATATTTTTAAGTTTATATTGTGTGTTGTAATATTGTGTCATTTTTTTTATATATATATATATATATATATATATATATATACTGTTCAATACACAAAAATTAAATAAAACCATTCATTTGAAAACTGTAGCACTCTCTGGCAACTGCACGGTGTCTACATCCTAATGTATAAAAAAAAACTTAAAAAATATTTTAAATTAATAAATTATATCTTTTTTAACAATGCTTACATCTATCCAGTGTCTACCTTAAGTGCCATAATAATAATTAATGTAATTAAAAGAAACAAGATAAATCTTACCAAAATGGTGTGTTAAATGCTTATCCAAGCTTTATTAAAAATTTTTTTCTTAGGATTTATATTATGCACATTCATAAATTGTTTACTATTTACATTGAATATAAGATAACTAAATTACACTTTGTAAATTACCAATTTTAATTAAAACGTTTAAAAAGTAAAATCAATAAAATTGTTTTTTATGTAAATATAATATGATTATTTTATTTAAGTTTTGACGTTAAAGAGTTAAGTATTATTTGCAAAAAATAAAAAACAACCAAGGTTTGACAACAATATGATAAATAGTTCATACAAATATATCATTGTTAATTATAGCCAGTTATTTAACCAATAAAAAAAACAAAAATTTAAGAAAAATTACACATTAATGTAATATTTAAACAAATTGATGATCAAAGATTCCAAACTATAATAAAAAATTGTCCAGGTTAGTTTCTCAAAAGTTCTCAATAAAAATAAAGCCAATTGAAATTTTAGCTACACAAAATACATAATATTGTATATAAATATTTTAATTCACACAATTTAAGGTGGAAATATTTAAATATAAAAGCAAAGAATATGTTTCTTTTTTTTAAGGTTTTATTTACAAAAAACGATGAGAAAAATTAAGGTGAACAAATTAAGAGAAATAATAATTGTTTAACCCTTACTTTATTCAAAATACATTATACAGCGTACAACGCAGCTGGTATAATACAAATTGTAAGAACTTTTGGAAATTATAACTCCATATAATGCAATATTGAGATCAAGTTAAGACATGACTTTTTTCTTTATCTTTTTTGTCTTTTTCAAATTACTTAATGAGTTCCTCAATAATGCACAATACTCTTCTTGGAATGAATTCACTTCACTTGACGAAACCTACACAGACATTAGATTAATTGAAAAAACAAAATAGCAAAACGAAAATGTTGAGTTTTTTAGAAATATTACATCAAATCAACTACTATGACTTACTCTAGTACTTAATTTTTTGTTTTTATAAGTAGCCCTGATAAGACAAAATTTTTCTGGTTCTTCTGGCACTTCGATTTTTTTCTTTGGTTTATTTGATGTTTTATTCAACAGTTCTAAAGTAACATAAATGTCAATTCATTTTAATCAAACCAACTCAGAAACTGTTACTCATAATAAATGAATATAATAATATAAAGAACTTTCAGTAATCTGCTTACGCAATTTCATTGTTATACGCACACATCCTGAAGACTGAGCAGTGTTAAACAATATGTTGAGTTCCTCTAAAAACTAGCAAAGAACAAATATATTAACAACATAATCTAATTCAAACCTTACTATAATTTGTAATTTAATAATTAATCTGATGAATTTAAAACACGCTAATCAATGATGTTAAAACCTAACATTATCTCATTATTCTCACAAACTTTTTTTGCTTTTTATTTAATTATTAGAAAGAAGTTATGATTAATTATTACTGTTAGTTTTGTCTTAAAATGCAGACTAAGTTACATCATTTAATATTAATTAATATTAAACTTAAGGTAGACACAGGCAGTATCCTAATATTTATATAATGTTTTAATCAAAATAACAATAATATTGTATTGCAAAATTAATTTAATTATTTTTAATAATCTAATGCCTAGTTTACATGTGACAAGCGCTCGGCCGATACAGTGGTCTTGACCGAGTACTTGACCATCTAAACAACACAAGGTGCAGTACTCAGCTAGGGAATAGAAACAGTTTCTATTCGCTCGGCCGAGCAGCAAAACGAGTTTCTTGGCCAAGCGCTCGTCACAAGTAAACTAGGCATTAGCCATTAGTGACTAAACTTTCAAAAACATCTAATTTATTGAAAATTACATTTAATATTATTGATAACAGTGTTTTTGATAATAAGCATAATATTATTTTGAGCATTAATAATCAACTGTACACAATACCTTTTTTTTCAATTGTCACATTTTCCCTTTTTTTGGTTATGTGTTTAAATTGAAATTGTGTAATTTTTCTACCTCTAAATGTTATAATGTATTCAAAAATAAAAATTGTTTTTATAACTATGCGCTATATTAATCTTGCCACTATGAAGTATGATGGTAGTTAGTATAACAAAATGTTCATGATTTGTTTCATTTATATTGTTAAGACATTTTTTTATATATCGCTAGATTAGGTATCGATTTCATATTATTTTTAAACTAATGTGGTTTTTTTTCAAAATGTTTAGAATTAGTTAGTTACAAAAGAACAATATTGAAAATGAAGAATTATTTTAATGAATTATCGTTGGTAAATATTTGATAAACTCAATAATATCATAATAATAGCATCATAATAATACGTGTAAAATATACCCATTATGGCTAAAACATAATAAAACTACTCACTTTGTTTTTCTCTAGAAGTACCATTGTAGTTGTATTTTTTATTTACTATACCATTTATTAGTAAGTAACCGTTTATTGTAAACTTAAGATCAACACCTTTAAAAAGTGTAAAACAAAGATCAATGAAAGAGTTTCGGAATGATGACGAATCTATAATGATAAAGTGATAATAGCATTAAAAATGATAACATCGGTTTAGCTGATTGTCACGTTGTGCTGGTTGTTTATAGTGATGGTTACCCAAGGTAAGGTTAGGTAGCTTACATTTTGATGCAGCAGCAGTTTTCGTGTTACTGATTGTAGACCATAATGGCAAAATTTAGATAGAAATCATTTTAAATATTCAATTGAATAAAAATTTGTTTTTTTAAGTTTTTAACAGTCAAAAAAATTTATTAACAAAACCAACTCGTTCCAGAATTTTTATCAAAACGCCAACCAAGTCCCGTTTCAAAAATTTTAATGAAACTTCAAAATAGCATGAAGCACAAAAATTGGCAATTCACCCAGTTGTACAGTACTGTTGTATAGGGAATGTAAAAATAAAGAACAGTAATTATATTACGTTCAATGTGTCAATTTTTTAAATTAATACAAACTTTGCAAGTTCTAAATTAAATAATTAAAAAATAATACGCTGTAAATCAGATAAAGGTTTTCAAAGAAGTATATATTAATTAAAGATCTGATTACTATAATGCGATTAAAAAATTAACTATTTTAATTGTTGAACTAATTGCCACATATTAAAATAAGGTCGTAATAAAAATATTATCTAATCTTGCTTTATGTAGAAGTTGTTTATTACAATATAATAATATCTAGAAAATAATATATATTTAGTACCCACTGCCCTCTTCATGAAATTAATTTATTCATGCTATTACCTACTGGATAGTCAAAATATTAAATTGACCCCTTTACAATTTTCAGACATTCAAAATCATAAATCCCAAATAAATATATATTACTACTGAAAAAATAACATTTAGTAAAAAACAATGAATTACAATCTTTTAAAATTCGTATAGATAAAAATTTGTGCACTTTCGATTTGTGGCTTTTATATTAGTAATTATTAAGGTGATAAAACTTTATTGATAACAACAGTGTATTTTTATACACTCCAATGAATTTAGGTAACAAATTTATTAGTATATATTTTTTCGAACTTAATATACAATAATATAATAAAAATATTTCATTGCAAACATGTCAAAAAAAAGAAAATTAATATACTTGTGTTTTAATATAAAATAATATGGCTTAATCTAAAAGTATACACAAACAAATAATTACATTACATTATTAGTAAAACATATCTTTAATAAAAATGTTTTAATATTAAAGTATATAAATGGGAAGTAGTTGCGATAATATCTTCCGTACACACTACACATATGCAAATAACATTCTTGCAATTTTTAAAACTTATATGAAATAAAAATAGTAAAACAACGCATAGAAATGCTTGACGAAAAATTCTGACTAGCCAAGTACAATTAGAAAACAGAATTGTACAGGTAAAATATTTTGGAATGCAATTACATCATTTGCATATATATTATATATAGGTACAAAACAACAATATAATATAATAATTTATGTTCGTAAATGTTAAATGAACTTTGATATAATAATAATTTTAATAATATAATAATAATAATAGAGGTAACAAATTAAAAATAAATCAGTATGGGAAAAATTATAAATAATAGTTCAGTCGTATTTTTTTTTTTTTAATTTGATTTTTACATGCATAACATTAGTGATTGTTATTAATTGTTTTATTTTTATTAATTAATTATAAACTAAGTTTTTGAATAATTCTGTTATTTATATTAATTATATACATCTGATTGAAAAACATTGAACAATAAGTAAATGTAATTTCATCAGTATACATTGCACATTACAATGAATGTTCTTACATTAGGTACTAATACAACACTACCATCAAGGTACACATTAGGTACTAATACAACACTACCATCAAGGTACACATTAGGTTGTTATAATTATTTTCTTAATGTTCATACACCAACTACAATTAGCTATAATAAAAGAATACACAATCATTGTAAATAATGAAGTTTAAAATAGTAACTATTCAGTTATAAACTCAAAAATAATTAATCAAATTTTAAAAAAATCACAAATTGTAAAAAAAAAAAGTAATAATAATTAATAACATTAACATATAATTTCGAGAAAAAAAAAGTAATAATGAGTGTGCTATAATATGTTCTAACAAAAAGTAAAAGCAATCACTAAGAACAAGATGATTTGAAAACTATGAGAGAACACCATTAGATAAATCAGGACAACTTTTCTTTAACATGCACCATTATTATAAGAACAAAATGATAAGACAGTTTCTTTTTAAGAAATATTTACAAAACTAATACACTGAAGCATTTTTACCCAACAGTATAGTGTTTGTTAATTAAAATATTGATACTTATTATAACCGTTAGATATATGTCATGAAATAGTTTTGTTAATCAGTCATATTTATTAATTGTTTATAATATGAGTTCGTCTCATTCTAAAAAAAAAATGCAGACCAACAAAAAATCATAACTAATTTATACCTAAATATCACTTGGTGCTTTTGGTCGCTGTTGTATGTATTCAGTAAATCAACACTAATTATTGGTTTAGAAATCAATTAATCTTCATCAATTAAACTACAGTTGTTGGATTTGAAGAGGACAAATCTAATGATGACATGAGCGAAGTAGGGTCGGATACCAAATGGGCGTTAACGTTTGTCTGAAAAATCATAAAATTATATGAAAGTAATGCATAAATAGTCAAACTCATATTGACAGTAGAGTGAGCAAAAATTAGTCAAATAATGAATAATTCATGAATTACTTAAATAAATAAAAAATAATTATTTATAAATGATAAAATAATTAAAAAAATTGAAGTCATCAATAAGAAATTCATGAATAACTATTTTAAAAAAAATGTATTGGCTATTGAATAATGTTATTCTTTGGTTGTTGTTAACATGACAATCTTATGTTGGATTTTTAAATACTTACAATTGTGCCAGGTCGTGCCCAAGTGTATACGTATCCATTTTGACAAGCTGCGACAAAACAGTCTTCGCGAAAGACGAGTGCTGTCAAACGGTCGTGTGCAATCTTTTTGCACACTAACGGCTCAAGACGTGGACACTGATCGAAACGAGGACAAGCAGCAGTACCAATTAATTGCATTGGGTCTTGAGTCGGTTTTTGTACAAAATTAGAGTTACCATTGTGCTTTGCATTATTAACAACACCGTTTTGTAATTTAGGTGTTGCAGGAGTTGGAGGTACTAATGTGACGTGGTTTAAAATATCGTCAGTTATATCCCACAAACATATCTGAGTGTCATGACCAACAGAGCCGAGTCTATAACAGGCTGGCAGACATGGTTCAATCGATGCGGACCTAGTGGTGTACGGGTCAAAGGCGACCACACTTACCCAGCTATGGTGCCCTTGACCACGTGCCACAACTCTTTGTTCGGCAATACTATAAACAGTAACTAAATCGTCTTCTCCGCCAACAACAATGTATCTGAAATAATAACATCACAACATTATTATAAAAAAAACATTAATCTATTAATATCATATCAATATACATTTTTAAATAAACTGTAATGTGTCTGTTTGGCTAATTAACTAGGCTAGGCTGAAACGACAGTCGATAGGTTCAAATGAATGAAAATAAAGGTTCCTACGTTTGTTTTGAATTAATTATAGTCTAAATAAGGGCCCACTGTACTTTATTTAAAAATTTAAGAAAATAATAAATGTGTCCACTATACAATTAACATTTTTTTACTAAATAACTGGAGTTAGTACAGCTTTTCAGAAAATATTAAACAAGAAAGAACAGTAAAAAGTATATGAGTATACCCGCTATGATGATTTAAGTACCTACTCAAATACAAAATTAATTTATGCAAGTTATAATAAAATGCTTATCAATTATTATATATAACATGCCTATTTGACTCCCAACTTCCAGTAATATTACGGAAAAAATAAAATACAATATTAAAATGATAAATATTTTATTTGCTTGGTAACAATCAACTAAAAAAATCAATAGACTTTTTTTGTTACGGAACAAATATTTAGGGGAGTCAAGAAGGTTTTAGTTCCACAATTTACTCCTGATCACTTACAATAAGAAGCTTTGATTAAAAATAATATGTACCTGCTATCTGGAGACCAACAAACACAAAGGAATCCGCCGAAATAACTTCGAGCAATGCCGACCAAGTCCATTTTTTCATAATCAAATACCCTGAGAAATCCATCCTGAGAAACCACTGCCAAATACAGGCCACAAGGAGAAAATTCAAACTCATTGATACAACTGCCGTCACAACCAATTACCCATCGATACATTGGATTTCGTGAGCTCTTAGTTTTGCATACATACACTGTGTACCCTTCCCCGGATTTTACTTGTTGGTAGCTGGGAACTGATGTACCACAAGTAAACGTTTCATTATACAAATATAGTTGACCGCTCATATGTGATACAAGGAAGAGGTGTTTTGATTTTGGCACCCATCGAACACAAGTCACTTTTGTTTTGTCAATCAATTTCTGATTAAGAATAAAATCATTAAGAATACATGTTTTTTTAAAAATAAACAATTAACAATTAATGTAAATAAATACTTGTAAATTAATATTATACCTCTTCATTAAAAAGTATGCTAACATCCTTTCTAACAGGATCTATCAACTGTATTAATCCTGTTGAAAAACCCACAATCAATGGAAGTGAATCTTCTGTGGTAGCAACAGAATTAAAATCATGACATGTAGGACTTATTCCTTTGTAAAGCTTTTTATCTACAGGTTTAGTCAAATCTGCTCCCTGTAAAAAACATGTATTTAACATTTATTTACTTACAGAATAATTATTTCAAATAAAAATTAATATATCAAAATGTATATAAAATCTAAACGCGATTACCTCAAAACATGATTTATTATTAGTTAATATATTACTGTTCTGGCAAAGCAATATCATAACATTCATTGTAAAATAACTTTTAGGCTATTAAACTTATTTAAGTTTTTATGAAAGTATTTTATATTGTTAAATAACAGGACGTACTAATTGGCAATTTTGCAGTAGTTTAATTTGTCTATTAAAGGAAACACAATGTTAAGCACAAAGAAAATATTAAACAAATTATTAACAATTAGATCTTTGGAAAGAATGAGAAAAGTTATATATTTTTTATCTGACTCCTTTACTATATATTAGCTTTAATACCTACTTTATTTTTAAAAGCTTTGTAATGAAGTCAAAAGCCATAGTGTACGTAGCATAACTGTTTTAACTTGAAAAGTAAACGAAATTTATGAATCTTATAGTACACAATATTTTTAAAAATCTAGAACTGTTGTTTGACGTAAATTACTTGTTAATAATTATTTTAAAATATGTACGTCCATTCGTAAATAGCCCATTTTGTCTATTTAATTTTCAGAGATAAAATTAAATGGAAGCTTAAATTCTCTAGTTTAACGGCTAAGTCACTGTTACATATCGACAAGGTTGCCCTTTTCATATAAACGTACACAAATATGAATTTATCAAAACTTGGTTTTTTTTTAAAAACTAGTGTTTTCTACACTGATTATAAATTCACGGAATCCTCTACTTCAAAAATGAAAGCTTCCCAAAATTTTAGAATTATTATTTTAGAAGTTCGCAATCATACCTAAAGTATGGGGGACAGCCACTACAATCAGCACAGCAACGTCCTTATTCGCTCTCCCTGGGTGGAATTTTTTATGATAATATTTTAACAGATTTTACATAGAATTTCAGAAATAATTAACACACGTATTACATAACACATTGTTATTATTATTCGCCCAAATTTTTAAAATAAAAATCTTTAACCGCTGCAGTATGTTGCAACTGCGAGAGTATACCATATACTCACACAATTTTCAAGTAGGTTTAACTTTTGAAGTAGCGTAGTATTTATGACTAAAAAAAGCTTCCAGTGAAGTAGTATTGTTCCTAACGTAACTGTTTATAAGAAATCAAATGTCATGAGTACAATGAGTCACAATGCCCATAACTATGTAAGAGTGATACAATATAAAACATAAAAACAATAAATAAGGGTACATCTGAACTTTTACTAAAAATAATGCCGTAAAAATACCTTGGAGCAAATTTACTTTATCGGCCACAATTTTTGCTATATCATAAAATATTTTACGCTAATAACAAGTCTGATGTAAAAAATTAGTGGAATTCACTAGTTCCAATGGCATAGCTACTTAAAATCTGCATATTTCTGTGTTAACAATAGGCAGTAGCTGACTGCTGCTGTACCATACATTTGTCGGCGACGCAAGTGCGCGCTGCTACAGTATTATTAGTTTATTTTTTTTATATTATTATTATCATATTATTTATGGTGTAATATCAATACTGTATTGAACAACAATATAATTTTCTTAAATTTTAAATCTTTAACTATTTAAAAACAACTCCCTACGCCTGCCAACTGCGGCAAAAAAAAAATTGCAAAAAAAAGGGTGTCCGGTAAAGTAAATTTATACCCATACCTTTTTGGTCCCTTTGTAGTAGAAGACAAATAACTCTCGTCCGATATTAAAACATATCCGGTCATCATTGCCGTTGGAGTCAGCATAGCTAACGAAAGATACGTGCACAGAAGTGTTGCTCTGAGCGTTGTAGCCAATGCGGTTAGGACGAGAATAGGTGGCCAACGTTAGCAGCTTGTAGACCCCTTCTCTGGTAGCGAATTGTGTCTTAAGCTGTTCCTTACAGCCACCGTCCAAGTTCATGGACATCATACACGAACCATAACCGTCGGTTAACGAGTTCATACTAGCCAATAGGCCGCTGTCGGATTCTAGGTAATCGTCGACCGTCACATAATTATCGTTATCCGGCGCGATAAAACCCATTCATTGTCGAGCGGTGGCCGGGCCCATGTTTGCGACGCTCACGACGACGGCTGATCAAATACGGGTCTACATGTTATGGCTCGGCTGTTGTCTTCGGCGCACAGCAAAGCTATCACAACGTTATGCACGCAATATGCAACGGAAATGTCGTATTAATTTTATTGGAATGAAGGACGAGACACAATTGAAAACAATATTACAACAGATAATATTGTAATATTATTATTATGAAGGGAACTAAAATATGGTGTATATATTATACTATGTAATCTCGTTAATGGACACGGACCGTGTTTACTGATAAGCTTGTGGAGGTAGTGTTGGTCGAGACGACGGTGCATCCCGTTGGTCGTTTGTCCTAAGCGGTAGAAACGTCGACACTCGATGATAGGCCGCCCCGAAAGTGATACTAATTACTGTTTACTATGAAGTATGATAGCAATATTCAAACGGATTGAATGGCTGAATTATGGATTATTATTTATTATGGATTAAGCCCATTAAGGCCAAATACTAGACATACCTAGATTACTCTAATCTAAAGTACTTGGTATGGCTTATGCTTATCTATTGGTTCTAGTTTAATTATACTGAACTTATTCTCTGCTTATTGTCGTCACCGGGAAAACACATAAAGAAACTAATCAAATCATACGTGATACAGATTCCTTAACAAGCTATATTAATTAAAATCTATAATATTCAAATTCTTCACTTTACCCCATGGCTAGATGTGGCTTGTCAGTCAAATCCCCGTCAGCTACCATAACTTCTTTAACTAAAATTTTATTATATTAAAGTATTAAAATTCGTTTATTAAAATAGGTAAAAGTGTAAAGGTCCCAGTCTGCAGTTTTCTTTATTTGATCAATTTGTATACATCAAACAATAATATTAATTTACTACTATAAAATTATATGTTTAATGTACAGCAAAGCAATATAAATTATGACAAAAGGTAATAACCATACATAATTTTCCGCTTAATGGGAATGGAAAGTTTTTCGAGTTACAAATCATTTAAAGTAATTTTTATCTGAGTTAAAGCGAAATACATATTTATTATATTTCCTTAAATGTACAAATTTGAGTTATAATTATTATAGAATTCTAATATCAATAATAATTAATTTTTAATATAGGAGTGTTTTGCTTAACTGATACATTACAAATATTATTTTTATAATAACTATTGTCAAACCGATATTAAATCCAATAACATTTGTTCCAGTTCTATGCCACGCAATATATTAGGAACGTAAGTTTTCTTGGTGTCTTTATCGTACATAAATCCTAGGTTGTAGAAGCCATTATAAATAACCTCTTTTTGGAGCCCTTTCATTAATTTATTGAGGTACACTGTTATAAGCTTCCGTGGGCTTTTTGGATTGTGGGTTTTATATTCAATAAGAAATTCTTTTAAGGTTTGTTGGTGGTTATCAGAAAATGTACAATTGTTGGTCAAGAGCGCACGTCTATTAAAGTCAGCATGGAAATTTAAAAATGCGACTATGTCTTTGGACAACTTAGTCATGTACATTTTACTAATATTATCTTTAAGATCCTTTATTGGATAGGTATTGTTTTTTTCTTCCACATAAGTCTTTAGGATAAACACATTAGCTATAAATCCGGTAGTGAACGATTCCTCGCCAGCGTACAATGAATTTAAGTAAATCAATGCTCCATACATGATATCAAACGTCTTAAATTTAACAAAGGACATAAACATGGAATTATGACAATCTATGACCCTAAAAAAATCAGTGGTCAGATTATGTCCTTGCCTTCGCAACAGTTTGCAATAATTCGCATAATGCTCTATCAAGTTTAAAAACTTAAGCAATACGTCCATATACTTGCAGCCAAGTAAAGTGACAGTCATAGCGAATTTTGATTTGACATTAATTTCAGTCACCTCTTCGTTGTACAGGGTTTGTGAAGAAAAATTGTAAGTATCGCCGTTTTGTAACTTAATAGTACCTTCTACGTTGTTGATCTGAAGCCATCCGTCTTTATATGAACTTAAAAGAATATTAAGGTAATACGAGAGATCTTGAGCAGAGTCACACGAAACAAAACCCTGATGAATGCTCACAAGTAATGCAACATAAAAATTTAAAAACATGAGATCCATTTGATTTTAGAATTTATAATTACTTAAATTTGTGAACGGCGTTTGATATCAACAATCAAAAATCACATCTACACTTTACATTTTAATGTATGTATCCCATTTATTAAAAAAACATACTGATGCTTCAGTCATTTCTCAACACACTGTCACGAATTACACTTATTTACACAGCTGACAAAGTATAGTTTATAAATAGTTTCGCGTAACACAATAAAGAAATCTTAACAAAAATTAGGCCATATGCCCTTATATCTGCTTTTTGGCCTCTATAGAGATGTATAACATTATGAACAAAAATAATTTTTTGTAATTGATCCGGTAGACACTTTGGAAATATGATTTTTTACTTTTGACAAATGGGCTTTTAAAATTTGTATTTTCCATAAGTCTTAACGGGTCATGATTAGTAAGTAAATCCAAAAATATGTTTTTATTTAGAGCTGATGAATTCTAACTTATAAATATACAAAACCGTAATACTAGTTATTAACATCATCATCATCATCATCATCATCATCATCATCATTATCATCATCATCATCATGTAGTTTAACAAGCCATGAAGGCCCAATGAATTCTGCCATCATGAGATGGTTTCTTGACAAATTTGCTATCCGGGGCAGGTCGTTAGTCTGTCGCCGGAGAGGAAGATGGCGGCTCCTTTTCACCGGACAATTGCTCGCCTAGCAAATGGAGCGCCTGACAGGCCCGTGACTAAGTGTCAAACCAGCGACAGTGAGCATTAACACACTGCTGCCTTACCCCTCAGCCACTCCTCTTCCTTCTTACATTAGTTATTAACACTTGATAAAAAAATCACGAAAAATAGGTATTATTAATGTGTTAATTGGCAATTTAATTAAGCTAAAGAATAAAATCTAGAAAGATAAAAGGCAATTTTATGTACTGATAATTATATTAATCTGTATGGGAATACAATACATACATGTAATTTGTGTTTACTAACTATATTTCACAGGTAACAGTTAACAATATAGAAAAAGAACTTTACAATATAAATAATATTAATATATTTAATTTTCTTTGAATTTGAAATGTAAGTTATGTACAATGTATATATGTATGTATTATTACATTTTTTTGTAATATTTTACTGCACTTTTACCATTATGGCATAAAAAAATTATGAGAAAAGAATTTAAAAAATAACAAATCAATTTAATGTAATACAAATTAATAATGTAATAACTAAACAATTTTTGCTAATAGAGCAAATTATTTAAAAAATGTTTTATTAACATTACAACTGATACATTCAACAACTAATATTATTACATATCAAAAGTTGTAATATTCAAGTTCATAAAATAAGTAAAATTAATAATTTTATTGGTGTATTGTGATATATTTAGTCATAGTACTTATGGTAGACAACAATAATATTATTGTTTGCTTTAGTCAAACCAAACAAATTGTTCTTAAAAATAAACCCAACTAAGGAGATTTAAATGGGTAGGAATTTATTGGCGGAATTTAAGTAAATAGATATGATGAATAGGTAATTTAATGAAGGGGTAATTTTATTTATGTTAGTAAATGGAGGACGATATTTATATTACTTACAGTGACTAGGAAGCGTTACAGAAAATGTATGGTGACATGGGTCAACAACAAAAACACTGTATAGCTTTTGAGCTGTTGCAACCTGTACTAACTAGGTCAATCGTTGGCCGCCATCCATTGAACTCTTTTCTGGACCGTCTTATCACTTTTGGAGTGGTGGCATTGGCACACACAGCGCATATCAAAATTAACAATTATTTTTTAAAGTTCCAACTTTTGAATGGAGGCAAATTTAAGCCCCTTGCTATAGATAGAGCTACCATACCTGTTTTAACATAATGGCATTTGATTATAGCATATATTGTTTAAAATAATTACCTATTCAATACTATGTATCAAACAGATGAGTGCCTTAAAAATTATCCAGAAGCAACATACTTGGTGTACCAATATAATATACTGGTTTGTTATGTTTGCATCCAATATAAAAGAAAACAGCCACCATTGCAAATGCAGTAGAACCAGTGATTCTACATGACATACAGTTGTTGTTCACTTCATGTTTTGTAGGTTGCATTCTAAATAGTATGACAAATACCCTAATTAAGTTAAATCTTTATGTGAAACTGATACAAAAACATTTTAAGCAGTTTATTCAATTTATGATCATTTAACTAGCTGTACTCTGTATGGGTGATTTTAAGACACAAACATGTTGCAAGTCAATATAAAAATATACTAAAAAAGGAGTTAGCTGGGTAAACCTATCTAGGTATATTAATAAAATAAAGATAAATAAGAATAACATCTAAAAATGTATATTTCTTTTTCTATTTTTTGTATATAAGTATATAACGTTAAACGCCTTTAAAGAAGGTGAAGAAGGCTTTACAGATGTGACAAGTATAATTATTTTTATAAAGAGATTATCAAAAATCGAAAAACCATTAAGACTGTAAGTAGCTTAGACACAGTAAGAAAATCAGAGTGAAAATTAATCCGAAGTAATAAATAAATCTACTTTACTTGTGTATTGTTTTAAGTTTCAACTCCAAACTTCAAGATCTTGATAAAAATATTTGTTAATGGTTGGTAAGCATGTTATAACATGAATAATTCAATACTTTTCAAATAAATACAAAACTAAGCAGACTTATAATTATAATTTAGTGGATATTATGTAAAGAAAGAATTACTAAATTCCACTACAATACAATTCTAAATTGTAGAAATGTCATATTATTTAATACTTAATAGATAAATCCATAACTAAATTATTGCGATTAGCGATGGCCGATGCACAAACTGAAATTGTAATAGAAAATTAATTTTTATTAAATAATAATTTACAGTTTACATTAGTAAATTAGTTTTATTAATCATGAACTGTTTATCAGAAGTTCATGGAAGAAATCCAATCTCACCTCTGAATATGGAAGAGACAATAATAAATGGCGGCATATTATATTAAACAATTTACTTTTCAAATTTCCATACAAGATCCTAGCAATAATTCTGATATTTGTTTTGTTAAAGTAAAATATATTTTTATATGGTTTTTGTGCTCGAATACCTAGTTAATACCTAATAATATTTAATTGCTTGTTGATAATAATAATGTTATTAAGCTTTTACACGAAATGAAACACAAATGTTTAGTTTTAAATTTTTTATAAAGATACGTCCCAATGGAATATTTATGACTTTCATAGCCTATCAAGTATCTAGTCTAGATGTTATATCAGAACGACTGTACTCCAGAGCTAGATGAACGTAATTCACATTTGGCTCACTTTTTAAGAGAGCATAAAACTGTTAATTGTCTAGCGTATGATCTTATGAATTAATAACTCTTGTCCGGGATCAAGCGGTACCACCCGGGTTTTTTAGCGGCGACCGGAGAGGACCAAGTTATCTATAGTGCCTCTGTCCCGGTCAATAATGCCATACGAGTATTTTTTTTTAATAACTCTTGTAAATTTTAAAAGGAGAATTTTTAATAAAATTCTGACCTTAGGCTTGAAGTGAAATCAGATTCTGTATGAAAAACTGCAATAACTTAAAAACGCTATATTATAACAAAACAATTTAAACACATGTTATCATTACGCATTTTTTACTTAATATTTTATAAATATTACATATTTAAAAAAAATTTTGATCTATTTTTTTATTTTATTAAATAGCAAATAATTAATCAACGAGTACTCAAATAAAGAGGCCTATGTACGCAGGATAGGTACGTATAACAAATTCCCAAAATCAAAATGGCCGATGACCTTGCTTATTTTAATTAGCGTTCATGGATTGCTATACTGAGTCAGTATTACTGACTAACCGCTGCGGTCTGAAATCAGTGTAACTAATTGGATATACCTCCTTATAAGTACAGTTTTTGTTCATTTACATTAGTTCCTAGTACCTACTTATTATATTTATTGTGCCGTTCCCAGTAAATCGCTAAGTTAAACTGAGTAGAATATTTTCACGGACCAATTATTGTAGAATATACAGGGTAGGTAATTCATTAAAGATAAGATACTTATTTTTTCTTATAATAATTGTAATTTTTAATTTTTTTTGAAAACATTTTTATTTATACTATTTTACAATAATATAAAATTACTAAATATTTACCTTTTTTAGTATTTTTCAGAGCACTATATACTTTAGAAACATATATACTTAATTAACTTTTTAAATTAAGAATAATTTGTTGAAAAGTTTTGTCTGGTCGATTACCAGTCGTGGATAGTAAATTTGACAGGGCGGGATTGGACGTGAAGTGGAGTGCGGTAGAGAAAATTGTTAACAAATTATTCTTAACTAAAAAAGTTCATTAAATATATAGATTACCATATTTTATGGTTTAAAAGTTAAGAGACGCATAGAGATCTGGAAAAAAATTAAAATATAAAAAATTGTATTCTACCTAATATTGTAGAATAACATATTAAACTATTGTGTCTAAAAAAGCTACAAAATTGAAATTATTTCAAGAGAAATAGTGTGTCTTATCCTTAATGAATTATCCTGTATAATATTTACAGAGCATTGACAGAAATAATTGTAGTCTGCACTCTGCAAAGTGGCAAATTAGTTCAATGAATAGCTGAAGTACTTAGCTGATTAAACCATAATATAATATATAACACGTATGCCGGGAAAAGAATAAAGATATTATAATTTATAAATCAAATTAGCGACATTATTATTTTAGTAATTTCGTATGTAAACGCAAACGTGTTAACTAGGAAAAAGAGTTTAATAATTTTTGGATCGGTAATGTCTCAGCACTTGTAGAATTTGCAGACTGTGACGGCTTTGCTTGAGTTGATCGCGTGACTTGACATTTATTATAATTGATCCTTGGAAAATTTGAATGACTATTTGTATGTGTTGTGGTTAATCTAACATGTTGCGTATCGTGTAAATACATTGTACAAATGGTTAATTAAAAATATATAAAAGTTCTTAGGCATGCGCACGTGAACGTTTTTCAAAAGGCCAAATTCTAAGCGCCCGCCCAATATTGGGAGTTGTAAAATTCGTGGTCGTTAATAAATTAGAACAACTCAAAATCGTTTTTATTCAACTATCTATTTATATTAAATATTAAGTGGTGAAAAAAAAATGTTATTGGTTATCATAGTAGTTGTAGTTGTTATAATTTGTTTTAATATGCTAACTTTATGTTATAACTACTCATATTATAATGTATTTGTTTGTTTATTTGTACGTTATTTTTTATTTTTAAGCATAATAGTGTATTATTCTGTGTGTAGCTTATTTATTTCATAATTCATGAGAAGTATTATAGTGTTTACATAATATAATTATTATAATATAGTATAATTTTTTTAAAGATTTAAAATATTTTTTTTTTTATGTATACTAATGGTTCAAAAAAAAGAAATAAAGTGATTCGCCGGCGAAGCGTGCGGCTTTGTAAAAAAACACTAGTTTAAATGTTATGTCTGAGCACGCCTGTGTACATTTTTTAAACATTATATCTAAGCATGATTCACGCCTCGTGTACTACTCACACCTATATTATATATTATTGTATTTCTATGCAGTGTACATTTATTTTGTATTAGTTAAAATAATGTACCTAAATTATACGCAAGAAACAATTATTATATTATTCGCGGTAACTATTAAAAAAATTAGTGCTTTAATAGTCATCAAATCATTGTTCAAAAAAGCCTTATGATATTGACAAAATGACAAACATTAAACAATAAAAATTATGAAGTAGATTCATGGAATTTCTGAGGCATTGGGAAGTGGGAACATCGAACGTGCTGAGCATCCTTTTCTTAAGTCTTAAAAATATTTCGAACAACAATTACTCGGTTGAAATATTGTAAAAGAAATCTTGTATTAGGTCAATCCGTCATGGTGGGTTCGTCTTTGGTGCGAGTGTGTACTTAATTACTTCAGAATTATTTCTAAAAACCAGATTTCTAAAGATCAACATAAATATTTTTCCGGAATTAAATAGTCTATTAAATAGAGTAAAGAGCTGCATTCTTCATGGACGTCGTTACTTGAGTTATTTTAACATACCTTTTTAATAAAATAAATTACAAAATAAATTTCAGATTATAATATTTTACAAAGTGCAAATATTTATTGTATTAAGTAGGTATTTGTAAGGATTGGAGCAACAATTAAATGTATCCACTTTTTAAAATTGTTCAGGACGATTTATTTAAATTTAGTCAAAGAGATCTACAAATATAGTCTATAAATATTCAGCGTTATTATAGTTATTACAATGTTTGGCGGGAGAAGAAGTGTTGTTAGTAGTGATAGTGTTCTGTGTAATATTATAAAACTAAAATTAATTATTATTACACACTACACAGTACACTCTGACTATACTGACTTATAGACGTGTATTATCTCACTGCACTTTTCCTCCTGACTACACGTCAAATACTAATAACACTCCGAAAATTAATTATCTGAAACTGGTTATTAACCAACCCTCGATTTTAACAGATTTTAGTTAATTTAAAAGTTAATAAAATATAGTAAATGACTATACTGTAGTACTGTAGTACTGTATACATTTATATTTAAGTTTGAAAAGTCAATAGACTTCTAAAAAGCACCTATTCAAAGTTAAATAATTGGAAATAACAATAAATTATAAAAAATACAATAACAAAATATTAAAAAAAATATATATAATAAATATGTATATAAATAATAAATAATATCTATTAGTATAATTATATAACAAAACCATTCAAATCCAAGGATGTGGTTTGTGTTAAATGGATTATCGTATCCGGTATGGTTATATAATTACTGTTTGTTTAAAAATAAAAACAATAATTCTCCAGTGGGCATGACAAAGGTTAGACATAAGGAATAGACTGTACTGTGAGGATAGATTTGGTGTAAAATTTAGTGAAAGTTTACACATACCTACTAAAAAAAAGTAACTTGTTTTAGTCCCCGAGGACACAGATTTTTTTGTTCCGGATTTAATAGTTTACAAAAATAGGGTTTGAATTAAAAAAATGAATTAAATGTCCTTAGTACCGCACCTTAGTACTAGGTCACCCTTGATTTTGTACGTTTAGGTTTGCAATAGACCTAATAGAAAACGTATAGTAATAATTAATAGGAACTTGGGTACTACATGTTTTTCTCTAGCAACTTATTGAAGAATTCGATACCGTGTATTGCCTAGTTTTCGGTTTAAAATGGTATTGTTATGCGATCTCGGTCATCTTCAAACAGTCAAATCGACGATGCGAAATTGGAATGTCCGTTTTTACATCAAACTGTAAATGTGTTCGGTCGTAATACTTCACCACGTTTATATTTTATCCTTAAAATGTGTTATTATTATTATTATTGTATAGTGTACCTGATACATTTTTTTAAATGTGTTCTTCGACCGCGTTTTTAAGATAATCGATTCGCCTGCCAACTGTAACTGTTACTGTTATAGGTATAGGTACCTACTAATTTATTATTATACAGACGAAACCGATATGCATCCAAACTACCAAAATATATTAATTTTACACAATAATAATAATATATACATATATATATTGTACATCGCGTAGGTCAACATTATGTATATTGTGGCGGATAGCTGTAAATAAATAAAAATAAAAAACACTATTGTTTCCGTTTGGCCGATTATCGACGAGAGGTCTACAGCAAATAATTACCGTATCCGGAAGCCGGTGTACAAATTAAATTGTGCGCGTTACGCTTTTGTTAATGTTGATTCAGGGCGCAGAAGGACCAGCTGGACTCGAGACGCGGTTAGGTACTCCGGACTTAAACCTGGACCAGTGTAGTGGTTACCGTCAGGCTCGACAGCCGTATAATATTATAGTATAGACACTGTGATTTGAACATTCAACCCGTGCTCGTGCCCGTCTAACTCGGTCGCCGTTCCCACGTTTGTTTTTTGCCGGTCGATGTGGTGTATAAGTGGCGTATTGTATTTCTGGGCAGACCGGCGTTTATAGCCGTTTATTGTAACCCACTTTGTCCGTGACCGCCGCCACGCGAGCACCTCTAACTACGAGACTGTCAATGATGTTCTATACACGGTGTGGTCGTCGCGGAGAAAGTAATATAACAAGTATAATGTTCCTGTAGCTACATATTATTATAATATAAGTATATCGTCTTCTTTTACTCGCTCGTTCATAACCGTGTCAAGGCCCCACACTCTATAGTATTATCACGGTCAACCGTTTTCTTCTACACGCTCGCACGCGGAGATACTTATACATACCTGTTGGATTGGCTTTTTATATTTTTTTTCAATCGAATTTTTTACTCTTCTCTACATATCCGTCGCGCGCTAACGTGTCCGCTCGCAGTCCAATTGCAACTGTCGCCGCCGCCGTCGTGCGTTAAATTATTATTTTCTCGACATTAGTATATTGATTTACAGCTTTTTTCAATTACACCGCGACAATGGCAACGGTGTTCGTTTAGCGCAGGCCGTTCGGATTGGCGAAGATGAACCACCGTAAAACACGTACGGTCGCGGCCGTATGGTTGTTGCTGGCGCTCAGCTTGCAAGTACACCTTTCGGCAGCACAGGAAGTCGTCCAGACAGCACCTGCGTCTGCACCGGAACAAGCGGTCGAACACCGCGGAGTTAAGTCCTTCGAAACCCAAGAAGACGGCGACAGTGCCGTGGCCGTCTTAGAGGATGCGACCACGTCGTCCCTACCCACTAGACTGCTCGAACAAGGTACAGTAAAGCGGTGGTGTATTTACAATACTTACTTCTAGGGGGTGACGTGCAAAAACATACTGTTACCCCCTAACCCGTTTGTATACAAATCTCGCTCTTATGGCCAGACCAAAAAATGTGCACCTTTGTTTTTTGTTTTGTACGCAACGCTAGAAACTGTTTAATTATATGATTTGTGGTTTTCAAATTTCAATTAGACAAAATGCATTTTAAGCGCATTTTCAAAATTTTGCTTGTCATGGTTTTTAAAAAATAATTAAAATATAAGTTGTCTTACATTTATTTATTAAACATACTGTTAAAAAAATGTTAAATTGTTTGTAATATTTTATCCGAAACTTACGTTAACAGTAATATTTTTATAATTACAATATTTAACATTTTTATGAGGCAATTGAGGGGACGGGGTGATAAATCACCCTGATTAACCCCTGTAAATACGCCACTACAGTAAAGACTATACTATTTCTATTTATTATTAACTTCCAAAATGGTTCCCCGACTAATAGCTGTTTGCATACGCGAATCAGCAAAGTTAAGGATCTAAAGATTTTTAGCCTCCCTACCTAAACTTATTTCTTGAAAAATAAAATTTTATACTTTAAAAAGATTTCAGTCATTAAGTTCGAAAATAACTCGGAATTTAGTGGTTTTTTCAAAAAATGTAGTTATTATTTTTTTCAAATTTTGTACAACCAATTGGCAGAAATTTATAAGTTGATTTTCAATGACTATATGATTTTCTTGACCGAGACATTTGCAGCAGCTATTCGACAAAATCGTGTTTTTTTAGCCCCTATTGGAAAAGTTGTGCGCTTTACATACAAAAAAAATATTAAAATTCAACAATAGATACTCCAAAAAGGGATTTCTATGAAAGTTATTTGCTATAAAACTTTCGCCATAACTCAGAGAAAATAAAATTTTAAAGTTTTGTAACTATAGCAATTAATATTCAATAGTTTCAAGTTATAGTTGCCTACTTAAAATGGCTCCTAGATTAATGTTTGTGAAATATTGCCTATCCTTCCTGCTTAATAAATAGCTCTTTCCGTTCTCTTTAATAGTTTACCCCATCATTTCAGTATAATTAAACTACTTTTTTAATTTTAACATACACACACACAACGACCATAAGCCCTAATATAAGCCCATAATATTAGTATATTATGCGCTTATACAGTCTCCTGTGGTTTTGATACACGTATACATTGAATTTGTACGTTTAACAGCAACATTATTTATTAGGTACCGTTAATGTACTATAGATATGTAGTTCAGATGACGAATTAATTAATGTATATTTTATAGAACAAATGACTTATTTTTAATTAAAGTATTAAACTAAAAACCCAATCAAAAAGTTAATAAACATTTTATAATTATCATAATGACTAGTTATTTTTTAGATTACGTGTACCCGCCACAAATTGATTAAAGTGTATTGAAAAATGATTCTATATATAATTATTTTCTCAACAAAAATACTTCGCCATCTCAGGGTAAAAACCCGTTAATTAAAACCAGAAGTTTAACATTAAAATATGCTGTCAATAAAATATAGTTTACATTTAGCACAAGAGTTCTTAGGAATTAATTATATTGAGAAGCTGTTTTAGTAAAATATGTTCTCTTTTTCTGAAACACGATTTACGTAAAGCATATCTCGTAAGCACATTTTTGGAGAGTTACATTTATCAGCTTAGAGGTCAATCTTACAATAATATAGCATATGACAATAAATAAGGTCAAAAGGTCGCTATAACTTTAGCGATTTTTGAAAAAAAAGCAAATATCTAAAGTAAATTAATGACAGTTTCTTAAAACTTAAAAAAACAGTACTAAATACTTTTAAATAATAAATTATTTAAAAAATAGTCTATTTAAGTTGATAACGAATTCCGTGGTCTTTATTTTTGGTATTATGATACATTTTTATAAAATTCACCACCACTTTAACGCATCGCACGCATTAAATGACATAACTTCACTTATAGCTATTATAAATTTGAAAATATTTTTATTAATTTATTAATACAGTAGTTTTCTCATTCTTGGGATAATTAAAAAATGTTTGGCCTATGGTAATAATGCGCCTGTCGCCTGGTATAAAAGACATTGCGTGACTAAATGTTGAGCTTAAGTTAAACCGACGTTTATATTTTATTTATAGTCGACACAGAATTTGAACGAAAACATCAACAACAACAAGGCATGAAGATCAAAAAAAAAAGGAAGCCCATGCTCAAAGGAAAGCACAAGAAGAAGAAACAATCGTTCAAGGACAAAATGATGCCACTTATGATGATACCGGTCGTGTTGCAGATCATGACCATACCTATGATGATAATGAACTTGAAAATGTTGGCCATGAAAGCAATATTGGTTGGAAAGCTGGCAATGCTTTTGGTGATATTGAACGCCATTCGAAATTGGTCGATACGAGCAGGAGGGGGCGGTTCGATCAAAAGTAACGCGCCTGAAGGGGTATGTTATAAAACTATATTATTATCCATTAATATTTATTCTTATACCTATATAATTAGACTCAACCACGAGACATTAGGGCTTGCTGGAAAATCTATGATTTTATATCGACGATAAGAAAAGATCAGTGGAATTTTCTCTAAAATGATCGAGTACAATTCGAAACCGAAACTAATTATATAAGTTTTTTAAAATTTAAAACTGATTAGTCATCACTCATCATTTAATACATTTCAACAATTTTTTAAAAACACTCACCGAGACTTAGTATGGGCTTTAGTTTAACCTTACCACATAGATAGGTATCTTTTTGAAAATATTAGTTTCTATTATAAAAAAGTTTTATAATAGTTATTAATTAATGAATCAAAAAAAGTGCGTGTTACGATAAAAGTTAATAAAAAACAAAAATTAAAATAAACTAAAATGCTAAATACATGTTTAACTTAAAAACCAACAAAACTGATACAAAGATAGTTTTGCGATTTTTTATGAATAATTTCTAGTTTTGATTGAATATTGAATAAAATAGACATGTGTAAAATAGACGTACGATACTAAGTTAGTAATTTATCTTGAGCTAAATATAATGTTTAAGTTATACTTCTTTTCTGTAGGAGATCTTATTATGCCAAGTTCTTTGACGTATTATTTTTTCATTTATTCAACTGTTTTAGTTACCACTGTTTTTTGACGAAAAAATCTTGTCACGACAATGAACATTTTCCGCATACGTTACTCAACATTTTTGACTTTTAATTTAACAACAATAAGTTGACTCTGGGAAAAAATATTCCTAAATAAGCATTATGTTTTTGTACACTATTGTAAATCTGTCATTGTAATGACATACTTGAGGAAATCGATTCCTCCTATAGAATTGCATTCTCTTTGTAGAGAAAAATAGATACTACTAAATTAAAAAACACGAAGTATCACAAAATCATTGCAACTCTTTAAAATGTCATTTAATAATACAGCAAAAACGCTTACAGTTACCACCTTCAATTTAAGGATGTTTTTACATAGATTAGGTCTCTTTCTGTAATTAAGGGAACCTAGACAATATTCATAAACTCATCACAGCATATTAAATAATTAGCTGTTATAGCACACTAGCATTTTTCCTGAATAATATGACCTTCATGGGGGTCGCTAAAAGGAACGATACAGGCTGGGGATTTTAGACCATTCAAAAACTTCTAAAACTTTCTCAGACGTTCGACAGATATAAAATACGTTACTCAGGGGCTATGCCTAATTAGTTGACATTTTTTGAGAGCCTCAATGGATTTGAAAGAATTTAAACTTCTCTAGCCCTCTTTTAGTTGCGTTAATGAAGATATGTTAGACTCTAACAAAAATTAATGACTAAATCATCAACGTTGCGCCGAAACTTACCAAAATGGTACTTATACTAATTTGTTTGAATCGGTTAGCGTGATATTTATTTAATTGTTATTACCTACTTGTTGATTAAAGACTGTCATATATTTTTAGTGATTTGTATGTGTTCAGGATTCGGAATTGATGTCGCAACACTACGGATATAACGGTGGACCGGAGTACGGTGCATTAATGAACAACTGGTACTGGAAAAGAAGGTGATATTTGCTAGCCCAGGACCGAACTCAAGAAATAAGCCACGACTATTCGACTCGACATGGCTGCTCTCTTGTAAACACATTAGGCTGATCAAATTTAACATATTATAAATTATAATTTATTACTTAAGATATTATTTATTTATTTAAGTCTCTAAGATGTTATAGTCATTGTTACATTTTAAGCTTATCCATAACGAACAAAAGTATTTTTAATATATTGAGTACTCAGTACTGTTGTCCAGAACGTGTGCCTGAACTAATGTTGTTACATATTTGTCGACAAAAAGTACAAAAGAAAAAATAAACATCCAGTTTATCATTAAATATTTTTCGTTTGCTTTATCCTGCATTTAAAAATTTAATTAAAATACAAAAATACCAATATTATAATGATAAATTACTTTTTTAACTCAATGTTAAAGTTAAATAATACAAACTAATAATTCAAAATAGTAATGAAAATCGCCTGTTTTTAATTTTTTTTTTTACCAATATAAATAATAAAATTATTGTTTCGTACAAACTATATTTAAACGTCCGGATATCAAAATCTTCAGAAATCTATATTTCGGTTCCATTTATAGTCTATAGATATCCTGTTTTTAATTCAATTTGAACTTAATTGATTGGTTATAAGGAAAAATTTCACGTTTTTTTTAATGTGGATTCCAGTGTTATAAATTTATTTTTGGCATACTGCATTTTAAAACATGTTTTTCTTACATCAATAAAAAAGTGACTTTGCCGGTTTTGCTCTGTAACTACCTTTTATACATGGACTAATAAAAATACAATTATTTAGGTTTCGAGTTCAGTATACTATAAGTAAAGTCATATAACATAAAATACATTATTTTAAACATTATCTATACAGGGTTCCGTAACGTAACGAAATATAAACTCAATTATATTCTCAATCATTTGTTTTATCCCGGTAATGTTAAAACGAATTTTGCTAAGTTAGGTTAGGTTAGCGAAAATAGTGATCTAAAACTGGTTATCGACCAGTCAAAATGTTTACTACATTATTCTTTATCACTATTTTTGCTAACCTAACCTAACTTAGCAAAATTCGCTTTAACATTCTCGGGGTAAAACAAATTATAACGTTATTCGGTATAACGTTCTCAGAGCAAATAAATTTAAAACGTTATTCAGTATAACGTTCTCGGGGTAAAAAAAATTATAACGTTTTTCGTTATAACCTTCTCGGAACAAATAAACTAAAAACGTTATTCGGTATAACGTTCTCAAAGTAAAACAAGTTATAACGTTATTCGGTATAACGTTCTCGGGGTAAAAAAAATTATAACGTTATTCCTAGTTCACGTTCATGAACATAATTTTGAACTGAACAAATAAATAACGGTTATCGGAACCCTACTATAATATATATAATATGTAAATAAATTTTCTTTTAAATAAACAAAATTACAGTAAATTCATTTATCTAATTAAGAATTATTATTAATTTTTGAGAAATATGGAGCAGAATGAAATTTATTTCAAATTAATGCAATAGTGCAAAAATGTATAGTAATTGTTAAGTTAAGATTCCTATAAAATCTGTATTAGTCTCAACGCGTAGGTGAGAAATTAGTAGAATTATTATTGTGTTGTGACTAATTGATTATGTAGGTGTGTTGTATTTTATATTTTTAAAATTTACATAAAAAATTATCCTATCATTAATTTTTAAAAAAAATATAAAAAGAATACATAACACACTTATTAGATATCAAATAAAATGTATAATATTATAATACTTGGCGTGCTATACTCATAACTTTATATTGTACGAATTTAATTAAATATTTGCGTTGGGTAAAGAATTTGAATTAAAAAAAAAAAAAAATTGAGAATAATCTTTTTAATAACAACGTGTAGGTTCTTTGTATATCATACACAATGGAAAGTATAACGTGACAAAGTTTTACCTTATTTTATATGATAACTATACTTTATAATTGTTTAAAAACTGCGGCCCGTGTATTTTTAAATCTTACGTAAACTGCGTCCCAGGATATTCTGTTTATTTCTAGTTAGCAAAATAATTTAAAGTAATAATCTACGATAAAGAGGTGTTTACTAAAATAATAATATTACTAGCAGCCAGTGTGCAGTTGTACAGTTATACAGTATATTTTTTTCATTTTAATACAAATAAAATGACCGTTATGAAAAGCGAAAGAAATAAAATATTGAAAGTGGATGATGGTTACAAATTTCGTTTTCATAAGTTTCTAAAAAATTATATTCAACGTTGGTGTTGCACAGTTAAAACGTGTTTTTTGAAATTTAATGATAATAATATTTTTATAAGGGGTTTTAATGATCACAATCATGCACAAATATCTGACCAACAAATAAATCGACAGAAACTTAACAATAATTTAAAAATAATAGCCGTTGACGATATGTTTACTAGGTCATCTAAAATTATCCATTCTGAATTAAAAAATGCTGATATTGAAACTTTGACGTCTCAAGACGTTAATTTAATTAAAAGAAATGTACACAATGCTAGAGCTTCTATCCTACCAAAATTACCAGCCACATTTTCGGAATTACATGCAATTTTTGACGATATGGAATTTAAAACAAATATAAATGAAAATTTTTTGTTAGTTAATAATAAAGAAACAAATATAGTAGGTCTTAATTAAGCAATTTAAAAGTGCTGTGTTATTCAAATACTATATTTGTAGATGGTACATTCAAAAGTTGTCCAAAATTATATCATCAACTATTTACAGTTCATTGTACAATTAATCAGTCTTATGTTCCACTAGTTAATTTTCTACTACCTTGAAAGACTACACAATGCTATTTGAATGCATTTCAAGATTTAGTTATAAAGTGTAAAAATAAAAAAATTACAATTCAGTCCTATTCGGATGTACGTCGATTTTGAAAAAGCTATTCATAATGTTACAAAACATGTATGACCTTCTATTGAAGTAAAATGGTGTAGATTTCACCTTGGTCAAAATTGGTATAAGAAAATACAGCAGTTGGGCTTAAGTAATGCTTTTAAAAATAACAATAGTGAAATAAGTAATTTTTTAAAATTATTTTTGACTTCCTTTTTTATGTTTTGACATGGTTGAAGATTGTTTTGCGTACGATATAATGCCATTGCAACCACAAGATGATAGGATAATACAATTTACTGAATACATATTAGAAACTTATTTAACCAACGACTTAGATTTCCCGCCACAGATATGGGCCGAATTTGTATCCTCGATAATGCGCACAACAAATAATTGTGAATCATTCCATAGCAAATTAAACAGTTCGTTCAATTCATCACACCCAAACATATTCAATTTCATTGACATTTTAAAAAATGTACAAAGTAATACGTATATCACCTTGAGAAGTCCGGGAACAAAAAACAAGAAAATGACGGAAAAAGAAACATTTATACAAGAAAAAATGTATGAATTGAAAACAAAACAAATTACTCGGTTGGCCATGTGCAAGAATTATCGTACAAATTTTTACCAGTATCTTAATAAAAAAAAAATTTTAATCATAAGCAACAAACAGCAAGACCAATATTTTTTACCAGTTTCTTAATCACAATTTTTTTTAATCATTTACAACAAACAGTAAAGCCAATATCTTTAACCATACCATTTTAATACAATTATTATATTGTCAGTCCTAAGTCTGAAAAATGGGAAGGAAAATATTGGTTTTGCAAAAATATCCCTAGACGCAATTTACATATATGTAAAATATACCCGGGCCGCAATTTACACAATAAATGACTGTGACCTTTTTAGAGGGACGCAATTTACAGACTCCGCTGTTTTACATGGTAATAAGTTATTACTAATAACTTTTAAAGAAATGATTCATTCAGTGCTTATGATAGAAAATCTTCACTAGCTGAACAACTATGTAATATTGAGCTATCCAGGCTGGCAGCGGATAACCAACGAATGGAAATTCCATTATGGAATTGAATCGTCCACCGGAAAGATTTATTTGTGTCTGATAATTGCTTCATTGATAACGAAAACGTAAAACATTATGAGCTCACTTCTTTGGTTGGATGTTTTTACGTGTACATGGTAATTAAATTTATGAATTTATTAAAGAACATTTGAGTAGTGTGCGAAAGAGCGAGAAAAAACGTTAAAACCCGAGTTTCTTATCAAAAAGTTAGAATGCATAAGAGGAAGAACAAGAAGAAAACCTTTAACTTGAAGTATACGAAGAAAAAATCAACGACTCCGAAGATAGACCTACTCACGAGGAATTTATCGGCTTTAAAGAGGCTTGGACAATTTTCAATACCACTTTGCTTCAGTTGACCAGCAGTAGTTTAATGTTTGACCGTATGTTGAGTGCAATGAGATATTAAATCGATACGATACCGTCGGGTGTATACACTAAAAAATATGCTAAAAAACGGGTCGTACCTTGCTTGGAATTATTTTAAAGATGTATCAAAAAATACAAATGTAATGCTACCCACGTACATCGGAAAAACAGACCCTAACTATAATAACACATTGAGTTCGCTTGCTCGTTAATTGTCATGTTTTCTCGTTAGCCAAATCAAAAAAACCATGTGGTCTTCTTAGAAAATTATTGAACAGTATCGAAAATGGATAGTCCGAGTGTGCCGATTACCTAAAGTTAAAAACCGAAAAAGACTGACATTGACCGACATGAGACATCGCCAATCATTTTTGGAGTAGAAATCAGACAATTCGTGTACGAGGTGTGCAATAGTTATTATTCAGAATTGGATTTCGACAACGTTGAGCAAACGACTTCTTTTCCTAGTCTAACAACTCCTTAGATGTACAGTCTCATCGAACATTTTCTCGGCTTTTTGTAATTTAAATTTGTCTCAATATCGATTATTGATTTGATTAATATAACACAGGCCACCATGCCGATTATGTTGTTAACCAATTGTATGCATTGTTGTTTATTCGTTTGCCATTGTCGATTCAAAGATAACTCCTACATACCTATAGCCATATCAAAATATACGTTCTTGACTTTCATTGTATTCTATTAAAGCATTGTTAACCCGTTAAGGATTACACACTTTACAATAATTGTGTTGGTTTTGTACCATAATTGCAGTTCGTGTTTTGTTTTTTAACTCATAGAATCGCGAAGGGTCTTGCCGAAAAGAAGAATTAAATTATACTGAATACCGAGTTGTCTACCTAAGTTTTTAATATGTACAGGAGACCCTTGTGACTTTTACTAGACCGAGCTCCTGTGCACCGTCTTAAAAACGTAAGAGTAGGTGATTCTATTTTTTATCAATGCTATCAGTGTGGCTGTGAATGTTTTTCTTAATTGTTTAGGGGAAGGGGTGACTTTAAAAATAATGCCCGTTTTAAGTATTTTTCAGGTACGATTTATGATCTATAGAGCTGCTACATGAAATAATCGGTTTAGCAGTTACAAAAAAAACAAGCGTCCAGACATCAAAAAAAATGTATAAAGAAAGTAAAAACACATCATTGTAACTACAAAACCTTCTCAGCTATTACATGAAAATTGAAAGAGATCCATCTTCTAAGAAAAAAAAACACTGTATACGCTGTTTACAAAAAAATATGTTTTTTGGTTATTATATTCAACAAAAAATACATTTCAACATATTTTACTGTTACTGATTTTACACGCATTAAAAATACAGTTTAATAACTATAAAAAAATAACAATAGGTGACAAACATATTGTGTAGAAGACATTTTTTTAAATAATTTTTTTCTATTGGTTTTTTGATTAATGTATATTTTATGACAAGAGTTCCAACTGTTATAATTTAGTTGATTATTCTATTATAATTACATTTTGAAGTTATCATTGAGATTTTTGTTAGAAATCTATGATTTTCATCAACTACTGTTTAAGCAGTTATTAATTTTGGTTTTAAAAACTAGTGACGTGTCCAGAGTTTTTATATTTAGAGAGGGGAGGGAGTAATCGAATAACAATTTTGTCGTTAACGTTTTTTCAATTTCGTCTCAATATTTTATTATAATAACTACTACATTCAAAATTTCATTTTAAATGATTGTTTCTGACAGATTTCAGTAGAAATTACATTAGTAAATAATTTTAGATGGTATTTGTATTATGCTTACCTATATGTTTAAGTGTAGTATCTGTATTTTTATCTGCACACATAAGGTTTTCAACTGTACTCCACCTCCCGTCCTAAATTTTAAATTCTAATATCTTTACAAGTAATTTTTCAAAACTGATTTATTATTCGTACTTCAATAAGTTAATTTAATGTACACGTATACCGCATAAGGTTCAAAGCTGTTAGAGTTCTATAAAATACTAAAAAAATGTAAATATTTGGTAATTTTATAATATTGGACAATAGCAACAGTAAAAATGTTTTTGAAAACAAAAGCTAAAAAATTGTAATTATTTTCCAAGATTCGAATGTCTTACTTTTAACGGATCATCTGTGTACATTTAATCTGGTTTTTATGTTTTCGAATTCATTTATTTTATAACATGTTTTTAAAGTCTAGAAACCTGATTGAAAACAATTATCAATTAGAGGGGTGTAAAACGTACTTAGGCATTCAAAATAGTTTCTATTTCTATTTGTTTTTGAAATACGGGTTATAAAAAATGGTAAAACCTATTAAAATTGATTATTACTTAAAACATAATAGGTCATCTAAGAGTTGTTAAATAATTTTAGGTCTTAATAAAACAAAATGTATTTATATTTTGTTACTAATTAAAATGATTAGTAAGATTTTATTGCGGAACCGGATAGCCATTTTTTATAAGCCTACCCTTCTGCGTTGTAAATGTTTGATTACTAAAATAAACACATTCACCTAAATACATTATGGTAGTTAAAGATTGCAATTTTTTACAACAATAAATACCTGATAAATACTTAAATTGTTTTTTTTTTAATAAACTGAATATTGAGGCAGTTTCCGCAGTTAAACGGGAAAAAAACTATTTTACGTTATTAGTATTATTTCTTGCTTTATGTCGATTTTTAATAAGAACTTGGGTTTAAAACTATGCAAAATCATAAAAGTTACAGCTTTAAACCAAGAAATCAAGACTTTTTCGGCTTTAAGTGGAATACTAATTTAAGATTACAGAAAAAAATAAAATGTGTGTTTTATCAAATAAATTTTGTACCAAATAAAATTTAAATGTGTTTTATCGTTTTTTTTATCATTTTTACACATTATATTTAATACGCTAATAGTTTTGTTGAAAATCAGTATAATAATCAGATTAAAATTAAAATTTAAGAATATCAGGAAAAAAAATAAACAAAAATATATTTTTAGTTTCATTACGAAAATAAAAATAATTTGTAATTTTTTTTAACAACAATTTGATGTCGAAGAACCATATTTTTTAATAGGCATGCTTTTGTGATAATACTTAATATTAGGTACAATGATGCATTGGTGCTTGATACAATTAGGTAGGTAAACATATTAAAAATATATAACATATTAAAACTAGATGCTAATTGATGACAACTTTGATCAAGTTTACCACGTACCATATTTGTTTAATAAAATGTATATTACTTTTACAAATAGTACATTACTATATTAACATAATAATTAATTAAAAAATAATTAAATCTGTGGTAAATTTTATTGTCTATACAATATTCCTTAACAAATACTAATACATAGGATTGATTCGTTTTTAGTTAATATATCTTTATTATTAAAAAGGTAGTTCATATTTATAACTATATATAAAGGGCGAGGGAGTCCATCTTCAAAAATTCATGAGAAGAAACACGGTACATTTTTACTTTAAATTTTAACACAAATTGAGGTAGTATATTAATATGAAAATAATACAATATAAGTAAAAAAAAAACTTTCAACGCAAAGCATTACAAAGTAAATGTATTTAAGATTACTGTAATACAAATTCTAAATTAAGTTTATTAAATAAAATATATTATCTATTATTAATATAATTATCAAGTAAATTCATAATTATTTCTCATATTTTTCTTGATAATCGCTACTGCATGAAAACGGCAAGGGCTATACTAATAATTAATATACTATTTATTATTAAATAAGTAATACAATATATCAAAATTCGTTAAAAAAAATCGTGCAAGTATATTTTTGACTAAATTGTGTTCACTGTATAATCTGATAAGAATAATATGGATTTTTTTTTTTGTAAAGTAAATACTTTTAAATGCTCCCCTTTAAAATCGACATTTTGTATGTACAACATCAATGTATAATTGTAATATTATAATAAGTAAAAAAAACCTAAGGAATGTTTCCCTTGCCCTCTGCCCCTTAAAGGGTGCCTTTGGTATATACATAAACATTTTTACATTTGAAAAGAAGTCGGCTATATCCATTTGAGCAACTAGCGGTAAACTGTTTCAGGTTTTAAAAAAATGACAGCATCCAATAAACTATTAAGCATGGATCCCAAATAACAATTTAAAATATTTACCGAAATTTTGAGAGAGCTTTAAAAGTTTTTAAAGGGGTCTGAACTTCCTCAGCCTCCCTCTAGTTGCGCCAATGGCTATATCACACTTCGTTAGTTTTATGGTAATGTATTGGTTTTTGAACTTGAAAAGTACAAATATATTTTTATCTGTATAGGAAAACAATGCCGTTTTGTTCGTCCGTAAGGGAGCGTTCGGATATACCTAATATTATAAATAATAATTGTTTTTTTTTTTTGTCAAGGTCGTCCAAGTCCGGTTTGTAACCATGCGTGTTGGTACACAGATCATAATATCTAAGAATAATTTACGACGTCTCGAGCACGGTCGCTAACCCAACCATCGATTATAGTAGCTAGGCGTGCTGGACAGCTCCAAATCGTACCTGTTATTATTGTTGTTAATGTAATTAGCATTGTTGTTGTAATGGCCGTTCGGGTCGTAGAAGTCCAATTGCTCGTTCGAGCCGCCTCTGTTCCAATAGTAATTGGGCATCGTCGCCAAGGTATTTACGGCAGCCCCGGAGGTCACTTCGGCCGAATTTCTGAGAGGGCTGTTGACCGACGTCGGCGGTGCTGGGCCGGATGTGTGCACGTGTACGTGAATGTTTTTCTCCGGTTTTTGAACACCGGCCGGCGACTGCGGGTCGCTCCGGTCGAAAGGGTCCGCGTCCGCGGCCCAATGGTGGATCGAGGTTGGCGCGTGGTGGTACTTGGACTTGGTCAACGCGCTGGTTATCGCAAACATCAACAGTACCAACCCTATGGTAACGCCTTTCAAGCTCAGCACTGTTAACACGGTTAGCAGTGTGGTAATCACGCCCAGCTTGTAGACGATGGGCAGCATCATGGCAAACTGCATCCGCCGGCGAGCCGCGCCCAAACCAAAAGTTCTGGTATTTGAGTCGCCTGTAACAAAAGTAGAAAAAATAATACATTATTCACTAGACGCGTAAAATATAAAAATTACATTATAAACGATAAAAAAAACTTTTCTATAAAAAAAAAAAAAATGTACTTATATATTTTATTTAACGTTAACGTAGCTGATATAAATATGAAACCCTTAGACCAATTATCGCACTGTTCAATATGTGCCTTAAATTTAAGTATATATTCTCTCAAAAAACAAAGAAGAAATACGTAATCAATTTTTTGTTCTAAATTAAGTACAATATAGTACTATACAATTTAACAAGTATCAGGAAAAAACAAAACGTGTGCTTTGATTTTCCTCTTATACTCGTACAAACTAAACCAAAATGTAAAATATTTTGATTTGAAAATAATATGTTGGTACTTAGGCACTTGATGTTTTAGTACCTTCACATGAAATTCACATTTAATTAAACTAAAAATCAAAGAACATCGTGTGTTCTGGATAGATTATTAGATTCGACGAAATTAAGAAAATAATAGTTTTGAATGCGTTAAAACTTTAGTGGATTGATATATCATTTGAAAGAGTTTCGGATATATCCACGTCACTAGTTATATGCCGACGTTTCCGACTCTTAGCATAGTCTTCAGGGCGATAATGGTCTCGACTATTTAGCTGCCGTGGTCATACTGATGGCTTTTTGGTCTAAAATAAACTAAAACCTTCTTAAAGGTAAAAAAATATATTAGTTATTATCATTATATTATGATTTTGTAGGGAAGGCGGAAAATTATCGAGCATATCCAAACGAATACAGGGTGATCCACTTACCGTGAACCACTCAATATCTCATAGGGTTTGATAAGAAATTAAAATATTTTTTTTCATATTTTTTTTATACAATGTGATCTCAATTTTCACAATTTTTTTTGTTTTTACCCCTCTCCCAACTTAGTTTTTTTAATAGCAACTTTTTAAACATAAATGGTAAGGTATATCTTTTATTAACTATTTAAATTGAGAATAATGTATTAAACATTTTGACTGGTCGTTAACCAGTTTTGAATAACTATTTTTGAAGTTATTGAAGTTTCAAGTTTAGGGCAGGAGGAAAGGTGGAGTGTAGTAATATTTTTATCAGCTCGCATTTCCCAACTGCACTTCCCTTCCCATCCTAACTTTAAAAATAGTTGTCCAAAACTGGTTATCGACCAGTCAAAATATTTAGTACATTATTTTCAATTTAAAAAGTGAATAAAATATATACATTACCATTTAAGTTTCAAAAGTTGCTATCAAATAAGTTAGTTGGAGAGGGGGGTAAAAACAAAAACAAATTGAAAAATTGAGTTCACATTGTATAACAACAATATGAAAAAAAAATTTGAATTTCTTATTAAACCCTATGAGATATTGAGTGGTTCACGATAAGTGGATCACCCTGTATTTTGAAACCCTTCTTTCTTTATTATTACTAGAATTTCCAGTAAGTATATATAAATATTTAAAAAAGGTATCATTTAAATTTTTGATATTGCATAATATTTCATTAACGATTTGAGATGATAAAAAATAACAAAACTGAGATGCCATTTTTAACAAGTAGATGTGAAATTTAATAAAAATATCTAGGTCAAATGAGGTACTATTTGACGTGGATTGTCCTATTATATATTAAGAATAAAATTAGTTTAAATGTAATCAATATAGTAATAATACGTGCAAATATATTTAGATTATATGCAGGTACATAGGTACTGCGAATCTTAGTAGTTGTATAAAATGTATTTTTTTTAATTCATCTCAGAGTAAAAAAGATGTTTTACAATTTTCACTCATTCTTGTACAATTTACTCTGTAAATACAAGTTGTTGGTAAATGGCATGTGCCATATATTTTTTATTTGCACAAGTAAGTATTATAATAAACGGTTAACCTAGTATACTAATCTTAGTAAATCAGTAAAATATACCACATTTTCCGTAAATCGTTACAATGATAAGCACGTAACGTATTTGTTTTATATGACACGATATTATTCTAGTTTACACAAGTAGCAAAGCGCTTAATAATAATTTTAAAAACAAATTGTTTACACAATCCGGAACTATACACGCCCAGCTGACTTTCGAAAATAATTGTATCGTGGGTGCTCAACAAAAAATATAAGCAGACAGAATTTTTATAGTTCATTGCTGGTAGTAGTTTTTTTGATATCGAATAAAGTGTACATTAATTTAAAAAAAAAAACCTAACTGTGTATTTAATTATATACAGTCTTTATTGACTGCGTGTTCCACACGATATAACATAGAAAACACTAATGATGTAGTTATAGTTACCTATACTTTTACATTCAAGAACTATACTAAAACAAATCAGTATAATCACACTCTAATATAGTCATAATATGATACATAAGCTAATAAAGTAACAAATAATTTTGTATACACAAAATAGCCACCATAGTCAAAATATGTAGTTAAATATTCAATACCCTAAACATTTCTTTTGTTACCTGCCCCGGTCCCATTTACACAACAACACAAGAAAATAAATAGACTTACCTCAATAACGTGTTAAATCTACTAATGCTATAATAATAAACACAATCTCCAAAAGCCTTCTAATTGGATTCCATAATTTCAAACAAGCATTTAGTTGAGTCCACATTGTTTCTCCTCTAATTGTAAATCGTGACCCAACATGTACTAATTGGATCGTGCCTGGACCACATTCCCTTACAGTTAAAACGCAAAATTTGTCGACTTAATTCCTGTATACTCTACGTTTTTGCATTTTATAGTTTACACCGATACGTTAACAATAAGGTAACATAAAAATCTGATTACTTAAGTTGAGTCAAAATTATTAATTAACTTAACTTAAACTATCTCGTTTATGTCTGCCTACCTAACAACTACCTGAAGTACATTTTTATATAACGGGTTTTAACTTATATATAAGTTCGTCATCGGGAAACACAAGATCTAAAGAAATAGCATTACAGTACTAATAAATGTACTATTAAATACATTACATTGCTTTTTTTTTTTTTGTAGCTTTTATTGATGGAACATGGCGGCTTAACTAATGCAAATTTACATTGTTCTAGTTTATTTGTATTCAATATATAATTTGGACATTTCAATAATAGAGTCAAATTGACAATTAGAAATATTTTTTTTTATTTTAAGGGCAGTCATTGAGAGGACATTGTATACCCTAATTATTAAGAGTTTTATATTGGCAATTTTTTCAAAATTGTAGTATAACGCTCGGACTACAATGTATAATTAATCTTAATTACCAGTGTACAGCAATTAAGAATCTTTTTTAGTTAAACTGTTTGCCAGACTATGACATCACCCTTGACAACGGTTCTAAATATTTTGTTTCGTCTAAACACAGTCTACACAGAATTCATTATAATCGGTCCATGATGGATGTAGAACAATAACACCAATTATGAATTTAAAAGATAATGACATTATATAGGGAGAATTTCTTGTCCGTTTTAACATGTTAAGTATTTAGCTTAATATTAATGTTGCTAAATGGAAATTTTAACTCTTTTAAAACAGTGATATAAGATATCTTTTTTGTCAAGGGCATATTTAAAAAAAAAAATATGTTTTGCTCTGAAACTATCATAGAACGAGTAAAACACATTCTATGTAGACAATTCTTTAAAACCTGAGATATAACGTTCTCTTCAAAAATTTTAAATCTCAGACATACATTTTCAGTATTGTTCTTTTCGGATCAAATAAACTGGTGAAAGGGGAACTATTTTGACTAAAGATTCGGGTGGCAAAAGCCATATTTTGCCAGTTGATTGAAATTTGAAACACTAGCAGCTAGCAGCTAGAGGCCATGTTCTTGCCCACGTCGGTACGTCAAAACAAATTGGAAATCACATTATACTACTAACAATAATAATACCTACTTTTGACTGTTAACGAAAACGATTTATCTTCGCCCCAGTACTATATTATAGTAACGGCGAGTTAACAATGGTAAAACTATACTTTGATTGTGGTTACATATGATGATATTAATAATATGTTAATTATTGGCGCGACAAAGTGGAACGGGTCGCCCGGTCGGAACCAATTATAGTTATACATTACATTTACAAGTCTTTGTCGTCGCTTTATAATAATATAGTATTGTATGTATGTAGGGACCCGGGATACGATGACTATAATGAGAAGTATTAAGTAAAAGCTCCGGCCAACGCGGTTATCATAACAATATAATAATAGTAATAACACATTGTAGCAGTTGCATTCGGTCCGTTTAACAATAGTAGTCGCCTAGGCCGTGCGAAATGCTAAAACTATTAGTGGAGGAATGCGCGCGGTTAAACCGGAAATAAGTGGCGGTCGGACTTTTGGACTTAACTAAATAAAAACAAACACCTTTGGACTACCCGTGTGAACTGCCCTAGTTGCTTAGATTACAATTACAATAATAATAATAACAACAATAATACGATGATTTCGAACAGTACCGTAGCCAGAAGTGTACTACAGTGAAGATATCACCGATGGTTGAATTTGGGAAACCTGAAATTCCTTCTTATCTAAATAAGTTATCGTTGTGTTGAGTGTTGATCACGGATATCGTGGACATTTCAAAATCACCTTTTTTACTAAATCTGTATAAAGAATTAGCAAAAGTATTTGGGAGAGAAGGGGGGAGGTGCTCGTGGCCCTTGCGCCTTTTTCCGGCTACGGTACCTTCTGATAATGGTAAATATTTACCTTCTGACGACGGCCGGTCAATCTTCTGCGGACCATCGCCTTCTTGTTCGTAAACGTCCAAGTCCGCTATGCCTTTGTCCCGGATCAGCCGGCGGATATCGTGTATTAATTGTCGGGTGTTGGACGACGGTTTGCCCACAGCCGACAGACTCGCGTGCCCGGGAGCTGGCACGAGCACCAACAGAGCCGCCCAAAAAAGTAGGCGCGACCACCACCGCCGGGGGACCATGTTTGCCCTTTGGGTTTTTATCGATCAACAAACGACCCCAATACTGTTCGTCATACCGCTAGTGATAAACGTTTAAAAAAAATAAAAATCGCGATTGTCGTACTCGGACAACACAACAACGACTAAAACGATTCGCGGCTTTTGCTGGACGACACTACGGGACGCGTGCGCACTGTTTGCCGTCGTAGACCGTAATAGCTGTCCGAAGGCTTTTTGACATCCGTCATGAAGAACCGCACCACCGAAGAAAGAAGAAAAATATATATATATATTAAATATATAAGTCTGTTTTCGGTTCGAGTAATCGCGATTCACTGTCAACGCGAGCCGCACACGCCTACAGCCGTCCGCCCGTTCGATATTGACAACAATATCTATGATATCTATTATTATTATTATTATTATTTAAGTATGTGTGTGTGTGTGTGTGTGTGTGTATGACAGTCGTTGTCTGTGTCAAGATATCTATAAGGTGGTGGCCGTCACAATCGGAAAACAACACCGTGGTCGCGGTTGTTTCTAGGGGGTCCGATGACCCAGAAAGCATGTGCGTGTTATACGTATCCACTTGTTGAAACGCGACGATGTTCGAATTACTTATTAAAAAAAAAAAATAAATAAAAAAACGACACTTAATGCTAAAAAAAAAAAAAATTAATAATAATATAAAAAATAACGACAATAATAACCGAGTACGTGCGTCCGCATGTGGCGGTCACATGAGGCGATGTGAACGTTGATGCGCGCGCGAGCCGGTCAGAATGTGTGCCGGTCGCGTGTACAGATATATATGTATACATAATATTATTATGTAGTCCGGTATACAATCTGAGCTACCATATATCCTGTCGGCAGTCCAATGCGATAAAAGAAAATAATTAAACACTGTTGGCGCGGTGTTGTTCCGACCAGATTTTTAAATTTATAGAGTCTTTGAGTATAACATTATATAGTTATCGTGACAACCCCGATCGTCATAGAAATAATATAAAATAAATTGAAAACCCTAGAAGCAAAAGGGTTTTTTTTTGGGGGGGGGGGTGGGGAATTGAGTTAAGTGGATAGTAAGTATAGCAATAGATACTGTAACGGTTATAGGCACGTTACAATACCTAATATTAGGTGGCTATTATGTATCTGCCTACACATTGTGTACACATATTACAATTTAGAGCATACCTTTAACGTTAAAGGACTAGAAGTTTATTAAATACGTATAAAGATATATAACATTATGAATATTTTATGTAAAATTAAAAAAAAAATGCATTTACATCCCTGGCTTTAGGGTCCTATGCATAGAATCTATTACTATACTTTTTTTAATATTATCACAAAACGGGCACATCAGATGTGGCTTCCCACGGTATAAAACAAGTAATTTTTATTTTATTTTATAAATCCAAGGTTACATGAATTACAACCGGTATTTGAAAATTTGTATTCACTAGTCACTAGATTTTTTTCTTGTTGTACTGGGAAGGGGGTCTATTTTGAATGCCGTACAAATGTTTTAACACATACTAACCCTAATATAATGAGTGTAATGCGGTTCGAACCTCATAATTCCGTTAATAATTTATGTTTTAGACCAGAGAGACAACGTTTCTCGTTACTTTTTAGGAACTGTTTCTTATTTATTGAAAACCGATCATTTTACCATCTCATTCTTATTATGTTTTTATTGCAACTGTTTTAATTATATTTATTTAATTGTACAGTTATTGTCTATACAGCGTTGAAAGAAATATTATCAAATGTGTCCTAAGAAGTACTTTTTATAGTGGGCCTTTAAATAAGTACCATACAAATAATTAAAAATATTAGGTCTATTGAAAATGATGTATTAATCTCATTGATAATAATTGGTCGACCTCAAACAGCTTGGCGAAAAATTCAAAAGGTATACATAACAAGAATTTTAACGTGACAATAAGCATAATATTATATATATTTTTTATTACTCTTGTTGGCATATCATATATTTCTCTACAAAATAATTTTATATGCTATAAAAGGTGGTTTTTATTCAAAATATATTCTGTACTAGTTATGGTTAAATAATACAACTTAAATCTTAACGAGCAATGACCTGAATCATAACGGGTATTCAAAATAAAACAACGTGTACTCGATATCTTAGTACATACCCAAGCAATACGACCACATTCTGGTAAAGGATGTTACCTTTCTTGCTCACACATAAGAGTTAAATAAAGCTTATTTACCTCTTAAAAGTTAAGAATTCTTAAATATTTATTAGCATCTGGACACATCTGTGACCCATACATAACTGGCCCGCAGTAAACTTTAATATGCTGTTATTCTAAGGAAATAGTAGAAAATCACGACACATTGGCCATCATTATGACTAGGTAAGTACTCTATTTATGTAATGAAAGCCAAGCCTAATATACCTTATTCTAAGCCTGGTATACTAGAAATACCCATAATATATTACTTAAATAAATTGTTTATCGTCTTTCGCATAAAATACAAATGGATGTACCTAGCTATTTCTAGTGTTATTTGCTAAATTATGGTACAGGCGTAACTAGAAACTTAAGCGACCCATCTTACATACTACACATCAGTATTAATTTCGCTTATTCTGATGCTTGTATTCGATCTACTAGCCTACATGCATACTTATACGCCAGTTAGATACAGAATGATTAGAACTCATAATTTTTAATTTGCGGCCAACGAGGGAGACGGGAGAGCTCATTCATCATTCTTAATTAGTTTATTTTAACACCATTTGGTACAACCTGCAACGGTAATCTATAATCGAAAATAAAGTTCACACAATAAGATTACACATTAATGTTATGTATTAGCTGTTAAGTGCAAATTCGAAATAATTGTGTAATGTGTTTTTAGTACCATCTAATATTAAATCTAGGTGCGCATGGTTTGTAAGACCATTAATTAGACTTGAACGTTCTCGTTGAATTTGTTTTGTTTTGTTTGTCAAATACAGCAAATAATACACTTCAGCTACAAATCTCCTAGTCGATAGCTTTACCATAAGTTATTCAATTTTCTGAACGAGTGTCAAACGTACACAGTTTTATATATTTGGTTACCTAATAAGTAATATACAATCAATTAATCAATTAAAACAAAACAATTATAATGTGGTATTTATATTATTACTTATGTGTAGAGTTTTAATTACACCGAATACAAGTTGGTGCTTTATACATAATATGTACAGAATATCCACAATGTCAGAGGTGAATGATCCGGTCGAATGAAATTGAAAAATGCCTATGCCTACCTAAGTACTTATGTACATCCTGTGGCTCCAGCTGTATTATAAAACGAAAATGACTTGGCTACTATACTACTATCGAGGATCCAGATTTCGCCGTTGCGCGGTTTAGAAATACAACACAAAACCGTCGTGGATGTCTCGTATAGGTATTATATTATGATTGAGTGATGACAAATCACAACATCTCAATTAGCCATCATAACATAATTATTATTGACTTCCAACTGCGCACCGCCGTGTGTTTTAGCTTTCACGCGTCAAGTTGATGCTTTGTTGATGCCAAACGAGAGTACCTAATCCACACGAATGCCGGCCACCCGTACTCAAGTCACAACAGTTAATAATAGTATAACAGAAAACAATAAAGATAGATTAATATGGTTGCCACAATTGTTATATGGGACGCGAGCGCATTCGGTAGGCTTATAGGTCCGGTTTTTGAAACGAGCACGTCCGCAAAAGTATGGCCACTTACGCCCCCATTTTTCTTCTTCTCATTGTTATTCCGCACACAAGACCAATGAGCCCGTGCACACATTATACACAATAACAATAATAAAATATAGAAATATTCGAATAATATAATATAATATTATTTCAACGTATTCAGGTGACGCGTGCCAGAATTTCACGGTATCTGGGGAATTCGCATCTGACGGCCGAATCCGCCAAGGCATTTGAGATAACAATGAAAGTGGTCGACCATATTATGCTAGTATAAGGTCTATGTATGTGACTGACAGCGGTATAAGTCATGAATTTTAACCGATATGTAGCTTAATAATCGTCCAGCGTATACTTACCGTCAACATTAACATTTTTTTTTTTAGATCACTATGGCATGCACGACTTGTTGGACGGTAGATGGAAACGAGAGACCGTTTAGACCATAATATTATCAGCTATTCCACTACCGACAAGTGCTTATCCACAGTAACCATTATGAAGTATTACACGGGTCATTAATACGATACTGGTTGTCCGATCGTCATCGTATTATTATTATTTATTTAAACGTGGAGCACGAGCGTGTCTGAGATTTCGGCGATTTCTCTCCCTCCACTCTCTCTTTCTCTTATGAATAATAATAATAATAATAAAATGAAGGGAAAAAATTGAACAAAAAACTAGTTTGGTGGGCACAACGTATGTACCTACATCCGGTTTGGCCGGCGCGGATTTAGCCGTCTCGTCGCGTCATCGACTTCAGACGAATTCCGCAAAATACCGTAATTACTATTGTACAGTAGTTACTACTGCTACAGGCTGTAGTGATGTACAAATCAGTAGGTTATGCACACATTACCTACCTTTAGTCTATGAGTATAAAGCGTATACTTTTGACGTTCGCAAAGAAAATACGAGCGAAAGCGGCTAGTTATTTGTAAAATGATCACTCGGCGCTTTTTTATTTTCAATAATTATAAACATAGTTAAAAAGTCCTCTACAATACCTGTATAATATTATCCTGTATATACTTCCCTACACCTTCTAAAAACTTTTTTATTTCGAAAAAATCTTAAATTAATTCTATAGACCGCAATTTTCTGAAAAGTAAATTTTAGAGCTCTTGGTAGAAGTCAGTTATCACTTATCTAATACACACGTCACGCATCCAATACTCAAAAGATACAAACTAATGTTAAATTAAATGACAAACATAGGATTACCTTAAGCATGGTATAGTATAGACTCCAATCCATATGCCAATGATTACATGACCAATAAAAAAATGTTTTTAACCAGTAGGCCGCATTTTCTAACTTTACGGCGTAAACAAGTATTTATCTCAATAGTAAAACAATATCTAACTATTTTGGTTCATTAATCATTATTCATCATATATAAGTATATCATAATTCATAAAGCAATATACTCTTATTATGTTCAGTAGAAAACACAAAATTCCAATATCCATTCCAGCTAACTTGACAACTGTTTTTTCAGTGGACCAGTCGTTAATCGTTAGTGTTAAGAGTAAGAAAATGAGAGAGAGAGAGAAAGCGTGACAACAATATTAACATAATAATCGATAACCTATTGTTAAATAAAAATAACATCAATCACTGTCAGATTAACGTAGTAACATAATTGATGTTAATTTTGTCATGTAGATAAAAAATAATAAACAATTTTATCTTAACCTTCTACTTATGCAATTTTATTTATTTGCTTTAAATTGTTATCTTAACATTTTATTCAAGTTTATGTATTATAATACACCCTTTCTAGTGTTATTGTTATAACAAAGCTCTTTATCAAAACAAAGTCACTAAGTTGAGCTGTATGGATATTTATGAGTAACCAACAAATTATTTTAATTAATTCATATAAATGTAATCATTTTTATACACGAATCATTATACACACATAGAAAACTGAAGATGTAATATTATTAGGTATAGATTAATTTGATGAAAAATTGTAGACAATACATACTCGTATACCCAGGGTTGGTGCTACGTTTTGCGAGGCTTAGAGCAAGTTATGAAGCGAGGTCCTTCTTACCTTTTCCCGTAAAATGTATAGTGATCCCCTCTAATGACTTTTTTTATTCAAAAAGAAGACCCCTAATTTGCTGAAAATTTTTCACAAAATTATATATTCCTTCGTAAATATTTTCAAATTGAGAGAGACATTTTTATAAAATTGGAAACTTAAACAAATGTTTTCATCATAATTCAAAAATGAAATGAGTGTAATTAGTTTTTTTTTCTGACAATTTTTGTTTTAAAAAAAATCAGTTTTTCGTTTCAAAGCACCGCCTCATCAGCAGGGGTTAAAGTTGATACGGGTGGCGGGTGCCTCGCCGTATCGTGATTTGAATAACAAAACTGAAGTTTGATATCACGGTTGTTCTTTATTTTTCATAGGTCTCAGATAATGCAATAAGTATCGGTGAGGGCGGGACTCACATAAGTTCGCCTCTCACGCTGGGGAAACGGGCACTAAGTACCTCACAGTAATAGAACTATATTGTCCAAGTGGGGATACACAAGTGTGGGGGATATGTTGGGGTGACTAGGCGGAAAGTAGGGCAGCTTGAATAAGCGCCTACGGACTCTAGTCACCGGGAGAAGAGCGCAACTCAAATAAGTGACTCTGTATTCTTAAGGACGGTTCTCGATGTGGAATCGTCGGTGGAGCCGTGGGCTTCGTCGGCACGTCTGCTGCGGGTACCGCTTCTGTCGGTTCCGCTGCTGCTGGGGCCGCTGTGGTCGGTGTGGCTATTGCTGGTGTAGCTTGCTACTGCTGAAGTGTTGAGACGCTGGCGGTTGATCGTAGAGGTGTCGGCTTCCAATTGATCCAGTGTATAATGATACCCGGATGGTTGGAAGAAGACTGTACTGATTATGGGATTGCGGTCGGTATTTATGCTGTTTTCGTAAAAACCCCGCAATCCCATTGGCCGATGTTTTGTTAGTGGTTTTTCGGTAGTTGCGTTTACTATTCGGTACGGATCGTTGGTGGCCTTGAGAAAGGCCGTTTTAGATGTTGTGTTGCACCGTTACAAAGTGGGGGGGACGCAGGGGGACTCAGTCCCTCTACCTCTAATGGTGGTTAAAAAGCGTCCCCTTTAACAAATTATTCGTAAGGTACACCGTACCGCTCCAATTATAACCAAACATTAGTCAATATAATTCAGAATTCCATTGAGATTAAATCTTGGTTTTTATTTTTATATCGATTGTTACTTTACTTTTATCAAATGTATTTAATACAAATTATGGACTATCTAATAATATATGTGTAAAAATAATTGATTTTATTAGTTATTGTAAATGGCTATACTGTGATAAATAGGTATTCGATTAGCCCATAAGTGATAACATATAAACAGGTAAAGTGTGAATGTGTGATTTTTTAAGCATGCTCACCCCATCATACGTAGAATTTGAATTTTTTATTGCACACTTTAAAGCACTAAAAACACTAAATTTTTATGATGTATATATTTTTTGTCTGGGTGATTTTTTTAGTTTTCTTAAAAGACAACCACTATTTACAACTTAATGTTATAAGAAAAAATATTCTCTTTCAAAATGTTAAATTTATACAAAACACGAGTTATTCTTAAAAATGTTGTATTATTTGTGATTTAAATTTTTTATGAAATAAATTACAAATTTGAACATTATTCAGGGATAAAAGTGGGATGAGTATGTTACACAATCACTGTTTCTATATTACATATACTATATGTATTAGACATTATACATAAAATCTTATATGGAACGCTTTAAGCTATATGGAGACATTAGTCCCCCCTGTAATTTTATCCCACTTTAAGCCCTGCTCATCAGGATCGATTTATTCTTAAACCAAAAATAAAATAAAGTTTTACCAAGACAAAATTTTGTTTTTTTTTTACTACAAAAAATCGTTTAAAAAATCATTCAGCTTAACGATCTAATGAGTTCTAATGGCTTAAACGACAAAAAGTGATTTGTACTGGTCATCAGAATCCCACGGGTTGAAGCGGGAAGACCTCGTGCTTTGACGTGAAATTCCCCTTTTATTACATAATCTATTTTACTTAATCTACGCAATTTATTATAAGGACTTGGTTTTTTTCCATGCTTTTGGCAGTATAAAGTATACAGCGACGGCGGTCTCGACCGAAACAATATTTGCTAAGATGACAAGTCGTTTTTTCCCAAAATTTAATTTCTGAATTTATTCATTTCTAGCTTTTTGCTACCATATTGAATTTTTCTAATTTTTCAACGCGAGGCCTTGGACATAAGCCTCGCTTAATTTAAGAAATATTTAAATTATTTAAATTACAGGTGTTTCTAGGCTTTTGTGGTTCACCCCTAAGGTATATTGTACACAGATAGTACCGCCTATTGTGATTTGTCATATATATATATGTAACATACATTATTTATAATTGTATTATTATTGTAATTTATAAATTACAAATATCTGACAATTAGGTATTATATCATGAATTAAATACGTTTTTTTTTTAATTTATTACAATGGCTAATGTTTGTTACATTCACTAGACAATTATTGTAAACTCCACCCTTACCAATAAAATACAAGTTGTTTATTTAAAACCTACTACAGTCTACAAACCTAACCTACTCTGGAGATACTGGCTATCTCTCTGAAGAGATATGGCTACTCGTATATTAAAAACATGAGATTAATGAACACAACTACGTACGGGCTTCTAATCTTATCTTTTATAATACCGCTGAAAGTGATGCTAACCAAGTTTAAGCCCGAATTGCTCATGATTTAGTACAGGTGTATAATGTTAATCGTTCAATCGTCACGGACTGTTTTACCGGTGCCAGTGAATGTCATTTGTCTTGGGCGTTATCGTACCTACCACGTCCGTTAAAAGTAATTTTCTCCTCGTCTGCTGATGCATTTAATGTTATCAAATGCAAATCTAAACGAACTTCATCACAAATTAGTATCAGTTCGGACCGAACTCAATTCCAAAGGGATTCCATGAAACAATTAAGTGAAGAACTCGGTCTACGTTTGTCAAGTGAGCCGGATTTCACTATTAAGTTTATTAGAGGAGTTCCTAAGATTGTTTCAAAAAAGAAAAAACAACATTTTTAAAATTACATGTAATTTACCAAAATGTGAAAGGTCTGAGGACTAAATTCGATTTTTTTCGTAACTCTGTATTGCATTGTATTTCCGATTTAATATTCTTATCGGAAACATGGTTAAACAATTGTATCATTGATAATGAATTAGGACTTGTGAATTATAACATATTATTTAGATCTGATAAATCTAGTGATTATTCTGTTAGAGGTAATGGAGTTTTATTGGCGGTTAAATCATATGTACATATATTTAAATGCGACCTTATTCTTACTCATAAATCATAATATATCTAATATTGAACATATTTTTATCTTAATCAACTTTAATAATACTAAGCTTCTTTTAGGCTGTGTTTATATTCCACCTAATATACATAAAGATATTTATGCACAATTTTGTGATCTAGTTGAAAATACTATTTATTTACATCCTACTGTTAATATTTTACTTATAGGTGATTCTAATTTATAAAATTTTTCATGGCAAAATAAGACGTTACATAATCATCCAGTTACTAATATTAATATAAACAGTCTTATAAACTATTTAGATCTTAAACAATTTAATAATATCACTAATTTTTCATTATGATACACTGGTTTTGATATTTTCTAATACTCAGATAAACATTGTACGAAATGGTACTTCCTTAACACCATTACCCGATGCCTATCATCCAAGTGTCTAATACCACCGAAAGCTCAACCTTCTAAAATCAATGCTAATAGCTACCTACATAGGTATGTTCTCTTATTAATAAAATATTCTATAAAGTTAGTTTCTTACTATGAATAGGACATTAAATAGTTCATTCACAGTTGACTTGCTATAAATCGTTCTCCCTGATTTTTTACCTCGTTAGGTTTGGTTAGCGATTAATAAATTAAATAAATACATTTAAAATTTTAAGTTGAGTAAAATTTCAAATTAAAATATTGATTTTTAATGTTTTTTCCCATAAAATACACACACTATTCATTAAAAAAAAAACAATGAAATCGATTTTGATTAAATTTTTAATTGAATTGTTATCTAATGAAATTCTATTGAATGTTAAAAATTATCTATATACTGGAAAACTAAATTTACAAAATATTATACCTAGACTACAGTCTACAGTATAAATTTAAGTCTCTAGTTTTAATATAAATCTGTAATCTGCGCGAAGAGCAAATTATTATCATGATTTATGTTGCCTTAAATCTTATTTACTAATTTGTATCTATACCAAGTTAACATTTACTTAACACATGTTGTGGATGTTGACATCAATCAGTGTATGTCCACATATTTTGTTTATTTTATTAACAACATTGGTGAATGTAAATATGCACCGGAGACTAATGGTATTTGCCAAATGCAGTCTTTCACCCTAAAAAATGTATAATATACTATTCTGTATGAACAAGGTTAAGCACTCATATTGATGGATGCATGTAAGAACTTTTGTATCTAGTACAGGGTTCGACATTTTATCTATTGCGTTACACAAATATTAAGAGAGCAATAGTATTAGTAAAGCAAATTAATACTTAAGTTTTATTCATACTAATACAAATTTTGTATTATAATTAATCATACTGTTTTTAGAGTTCAATTATTTTTTTAATTCATTCCAAAGTAGTTTTCTAGGAGTCATAAACTCTTTCAGATCTTCATCAGTAATTTTACTTCGGTTTGTTTGATGTTCTTGAACTATTTTTGTCAGCTCATCAATTAGTAACTTTTTCAGCTCTCCTGTTAGCATTTCTCCAGAAGAATATGCCTGTTGAAAATAATAGTTTATTATGTTAAAAAATGTTTAAATCAAAAACAAATGAAATAATAAACAAAATCACTAAACAAAATAAAACAGTTTTAGAATTAGAATATTTTGATATTTTTTAGGGAAGGATTGAAATCACTGATTATCCAGGGAAGCTATGTAGAGCGGTCTCTATGACATTTTAGTATTTAGCATGACTAATTATAAAAAATAATATAAAATACTCAATTTTTGAAATTATTATTTTAATCTCTTTGTCTCCTAGCATAAGCAAATCATATTATTCCTTATTACTATATATACCTATTCCTTATCATTTTAAACAACATTTTATACAAAAATACTTGTAGGCATGATCATTTATTTAATATCATTTGTACAATCCAGAAAACAGTCTTTTTTCAATTATACTTGAGTATAATTAAATTCTGAAAATTCTGAATATTTTTTGTCTCACATAATTTAAGACATAAAAATACTAAGTGAAATTTTCACAATGAATTACAAAAAAACTGCACGTAGATCTATCCAGTAGTTTTCAGAGTTTAAATAGGTATAAAAATATCCTTTGTGCCTTATCCCTCGCAATTTTGACGAAGTACATTTAGGACCTTAAACCGATTTAATGTTTATATAGAATGCAATAATTAATGACCAATAATACAGAATTTAAATCTTTTGACCAGCCAAACTCTTAAATAATTGACAAATCAGTCATTGCAAAATGTCTGGATTTTTGCTGGAGCTCTTTGCTATGTGATAAATGCTGAATGTATTACAATTAATTCCAATTTTAACTGTTCATTTAATAAAAAAAAAACCTGACAGTAATTTCTATTTAAAACAACACTCTTCTTCGACTAAAACGTACATGAAGCTGTGATTTATAAAGAATATCATAAGCTATTGTGATTCATAACATTATGATAAATACAAACTATATTTAATATGATCTTTCTAATATATAAATGTAATTAATTATCTTAAATTTTTAAGGTCTCGTCCTCACTAGCGAAACGCAAACCATACAACATATTGACGCTTTACTCAATGTCAATATTTTGATCTGTATGTTGCTATAACATTTAGCCGACATACATTCATTATGCAGTTTTGGCTTTGGTTCGCTAGAGTGGACGAAGCCTAAGAGTGTTATATTACTTTTTCAATCTTTTTTATTTCTTCATCGTCTTCTAAGAAATATCTTAAATACTGATACGATATGTCTATACTACAATCTCCACCTTTTTCTCTATGTTCTTCAACTGTTGTTTGACCACCAGAAAATGCATACTTGTTTATCTAAAATAACAATAATTATTAATAAAAAAAATATACAGACACAGCCTTTTATTAAAAAGTTTTAATAATTTGTTATAAAAATTTTTAAAAAATTATTATAACATTTTTTAGGAAGCATAAAAAACGAGATATAGAAAAAAAATTTATAACAATTTATTAAAATACTATGTGAGAGTCTGCATTGGCTACGAACATATATGTCTAAGAGGTTAATTAACTAGTTAGTTAGTCATGCAAATATGATTATAAAAGAGAGGTAGATAACCTACACCTTTAACGAGTAGATATATCAGGAAAGTAGGCAAATAACCACTATTTTTTCTTATGAAAATTAAGTGTTTTAGAAAAAAAAATCAATAAAAAGACATTAAGATAATATGTTTAAGTCAAATTTAATGTTTTAGTTAACTTGTTAAAGTATTTTTTTAATTTACCAGTTGGTCTTGAATGCAGTTTAGAAAAAGGAAAAAAACATTTAAACTAAATGTGAATTACTCTCAAATTTATTTAAAAAATAATATATACTTGAAATGTGAGCATAATTATTTAATTATAATTAACTAACTTTGTTCTTTATTTGTTTAGGAGTGTCTGTCAAATAAATGGCCGAATTCAAATCGCTAGCTGACATTTTTGTATCAGCTCCTTGTAAAGATGGTAAAAATGATGAGTGTATTAATGCTGGTTTATGAGTACCGAGCTTAGGCGCTACATCTCTCGTCATGCGGAAATAAGGATCCTGTAATTACAAAACATCATTTATTAGTTAAATTATTGTTTTTTTTTTCATTTAGAAAACATACAGTACGATTTAGCAACACTGAATAGATACCTGATCTATAGCACAAGGTACTAAACAAGGAACTTTATCATTTCCAAATATAAATGGAAATGTAGAAGATAAGCATGGGGCTGCTTGGACGGCCGGAAAAGCGATTTTACCAATTACGTCACTGTCGCCAAATCCAAAAATGCCTTTCACTTGATTGAAAGTAACACTTTTTTGTATTCTCAACACGTTGGTGTAGAATGAGGGACATTCACTATAAAATAACTTATCTTTTAGTAATTGCAAAAAATTAAAAATGTTTAACAACAATAATAATAAATGTCTACATTACCCCATAAATTGAAAATCAGAAAAAATGAATGTATTTTTTTTATCAAAACCACAAGCGATGATATCTTTTGCATTTTCTTTAGCTAACCGCTTTGTCTCTTCAACGGTTAAATCTTTCCACAAGAATTTCTCATCATCCGTTAATTGAATGACAAGAGGAACATTAAAAACCTCCTGCAACCATCTAAACAATAATACAATCAGTAACAACAAAATATAAGAAATATGAAATACAACTATAATTTACTTTGTTATCATAAATGGAATCAAGTGACCGATGTGAAGAGAATGTGATGACGGACCCCTTCCTGTATATAAATAAAATGGTTTTCCTTTTTCATACAAGTTCAAAATGTTGTGAAGATCTCTGTGTGAAAAAAAGATGCCTCTTTTGAGAAAATGATGGACAGGTTTTTTCGTAAGTGTTTCAATTCGCAATATTAAATCATCAGTAATTTTACTGCTCCCAAACCTATCTAAAAAAAAATTTTTTTTAAAAAAGTAAGTAATATTAAAAATGCTGAGTCACTCAATATTGTTTAAAATGTAAATATAATAATCCAAAGTGATGGTACTTTGGAGTTCTAAGATTCATAATTTATATTTATATACTATTGTTTATTAATATGTAATAATATTGCATAATACTATTCATTTTGTAAGTGACCTCAATAAAAACCAGGCAATAAATATGAAATTCCTATTTTTCATTAATTTATTAAAAAGCTGATAAACTAAGTTAGAAATAAATAGTTATTTGATATAATATTTATAACTTATAATATAAGAGTGTAGATAGTATTAATTCAAATATTGTGGTTTTTTGATAAATGTTAAATCGAAAGATAACAGGTTTAACAAGTTGGTTAAAGTTTGTACTAATAGAATATGTTGCTTGCAATATTTATAGGGTTTTTGGGTACACCTATATTTACATATTGCAGAAGAATAAACAAAATTGTTATCAATACGCAACACAGCCCTGAATATGGAAAATGAGGGTCTTTTGAAACGTTAGCAAAGCCAATGGGTAAATGCAGGTGTAACCGAAAAACTTGTAAATATTTTAGAAAGTTAACAAACTGTGGGCATTATTTTTCTGCTATATTTACATTACTATCCAGCTTCTAAAGCTTAATAAATTAGTATTATTGTAAAAATAAGATAAATGAAGATAAAAATTGATGTAGTACTTTGCACAATAATTGATCATTTAGTGGCCTCTTCAGTAAAATATACATAGTCATCAAAATGTATTAAGACAAGTAATAAGGTTATTAGGACAGTACTTATGAGCTTGTCGTAGTCAATGCCAGTTTTGGATGTACTGCATACGTTCCACGGGTCGACAACGTCGTCGTCTCCACTAGTTTCTCTGGTTTCCGGTGACATGACCCCAAAAGAGAATTTGAATATTATCCGTCGCTGAAAACTAAAACAACACAATCATCAACTTCAAACTATACGTCGTACTATAAACGTGGATAATATTACAAAAATGCCTTCAACTGCAAATTAACATTACTTCCTTGAGTTCCTAATGATAACAATAAAAATATAATGTGCGCCGTGTGCATAAATGATAAGCGATAACAGGTTCGTTTATCACAAACACTGTTATCAGTAATTGATAACTGTTATCACATAGCAATTTTTTTTTGCAACAGATGGGGCTGGTGTTATCTGTCCCGTAAAACTATTTTTCATTAGCTATTTGTTCCACGTCATTGCTAAATAGGTATCGGTTTGCGTAACATATCCATTTACATTGTGGAACCATATTATTATATTTTATTTTGATACCTGCATAATTATAAATGACGTGTTTTTGAATAATGTGTACATGCGAACAAATATTATTCCGTGCGAAAAAAGTTAGGCAGGAAAAATTATAATGTTTGACAAAAAAAAAAAGATAAGAGTATTGTCTTATAGAAAAAAAATTTGCGAATTATAAATGCAATGGCATTAGTGACAGTTTTAGAATATTCTATAAAAAACATTAGGTCCAAAATACGATTTTACCAAAAGAAGCGTTTATGTAGGTACTTATGTAAATTGTACAGTTTTAGGTCAGTTTAAAAGGATATTTCTCTCATTCACTAAAATGGATAACATTAGACTAATTGCCTAACATATTTATTTAAATTTGTTTATGATTATTTGTCATCTCAAATTATTGTTGCCGCTATCGTCTGTCAACAAATTAAGCTATATTTGATAGTAAAAGTTGTTGGGTGATTTTCTCAATATTGATTTTGGGAGAGGGGTTATTAATAACTTTAAAAAAATTGAATTGTGTCTTTTTGTATATCAAGTAAGAGATAATGTCTTAAGATTTGTATTTTGTAAAAAAATAATAATTTTCTATCTCAAAGAGCATTAGAGAGTTAGATGTTATAACTGAAAATGTGAAGACAGTCACACTGTATTTAATTTATTTTAACGGGTAGATATAAAATTTTGGGTAAAAGGTACTTACGAAAATATAAGTGGCAATATTGAATATTGTAATGTGTATTGATGATTTCACGTGGGATTTTAGCTATTCTATACTTGTATTGTGTTGAGACTAGGGTATAAAGAATTTAATATAATGTAAACGCTGTATAATGACCCTTTTTTAGAAAAAATAGATTACAATTAAATGAGTATGTTGAGTTAGATGTATGGGGAACTATTTAAGATTGGACAGACTAAGAAGTAAGAAAGAATGATTTTATAAGAAATTTAAAAGTTGTACCAATAGGTAATAACAATTAATGAAAGTGACTCAACCCTTATTTCTTATAAGACCATTTTTTTTAAGTATATTGGAAAATAAGTATTTAGAAAGTATGTCGTATGTAGGTTCTGATCTTCGACCAAGAACACATTGTTGTGAAAAATTATCTTCTCGGTTAGACTTCTTAGTTAAATGTAAAATTATAACAATACGAAATAAAAATGATGCAGCAAAATTATGAACATATTAGTACAGTCAGTTAAGCTACGCTAAAAGACACTGTTGTCCTTTTCATGTTAAAAAAAAAAAGCATTTAAATCGATTTGAATAATATATTTATATATCATGTTACAAACTGATTAAAAACCATCTTCGGAATGTATAAATTTGAATACATAAATAATATTAAAATTTTAAATTACAAGCCCATGACCGACAGGCAATGTAATAGTGCACGGTCCCCGGATGTTTTATTACACTCTTACATTATAAAGTAGTATGCCAATAAATAATAGTTAAAGTAAAACTAATATAGTATAATATACTAAAGTTGTATAATATAGTATTAATGGACGTCAGAAAACACCGAAACAATACAAATTTCAAACAAATAAGTTATATTGAACAATGTAACTCAATGGAAAAAATAATATATGTATATACTTATATATTAAATAATTATTTTAAATACATTTTTACAAATTAACTTAAATGACACAGATATTATATATTATACAATATTGTACAAAATAAAATAAGTGAGATTTTTTAAGCTTTTAATTTTGATTACAATTTATAAGCTTATAAAAAAAAAACATCTTTTGTCGGGCCAATTGCATTGGACCTTAAAAATACAACTTGCTTAATTTGCTTTTGCCTGTTCTCCATAAATAAACGCAAAAAAAAATTAAAACATTATTTAGAAAGGATCGACTATACATGGACTGAACATATCCATTTTATATCACTTAAGATATATATTTAAAAAATAATAATAGTTTAGAAAGGTATAAACTGCATTACGGCAAGCAGGGCGTCTCCGCCGATATAAGAATATAGCCCGGATGCTTTAAGTTATTTTATTTTTGTGTTTATAGTTGTTTTTCTATAATATTATTTTGTAAGAGAAATACAAAAAAAATGTTTGTTGTATTTACTATTTTAATAGCATATATGCTATTAAAATACAAATTAATAGCAAATTCACAGTACAAATTCTCAGTATTTTTTAAGTGGAACTGATTTAAATTTTATGATTAGAGTCATAAAAACATTCATATATTAAAATGGCTGAGTCCAGTCCATCTATAATAATCTTTTTTTTAAATAACTATTGATTAAAAAAAACATGTTTTAATTTTTATATGTGGGGCCATGTATACATAATTTTTTAAAACAGCATCATTCAAACATCTATAACTAATTTCAATTAACCCGGCAAAGAAAATATGCTAAGCTGTGTTATAATTAACAATATAATTTTTTAAAAAATTATTTTACGATTTCGTCTTCTAAAAGTGATAAATCCGATTTCACCTCGAATTGCTAAAACCATATGTTCCTCACTGTTGTAATAAATACATTTAAATTTGAAAGATTTTTCCCACCATTTTTCTGTTAAGCCAAACATAGTGTTATCCAAATTCACTGTGACGTTTTTGTGAATGTATTCGCCCTAATAACACAAAATAGTAATTATTACTTCATAATAAATATCTGAAAAAATTATTATGGTCAATATACATCATATCATATACAAAAAAAAAAAAAAATTATTACTCTAGGTTACAGCCAATTTGCGCAGCAAGTAAATTGACTTGCCGAGACCTTGAAAAATCCATTGTATTTTTTTCTATGGATTTGATTTTGAGGTATTAATTTTAAAATTGTTTGTGTTCTTTTAATTTTAATAATATGCGTAGTTTAAATTTTTATTCAAGCAATCTGATATTTTATGAGTATAACATAGTCTCTTTAATGTTACTACTTTCACCGTTCTACGTTTAGTTAAAGGGTCCAAAGACTGTCTGAAAGCTTAAGTAAGGCTCCGAATTGTTGCTAGGTGTACGTACTTGCGTCAAAATATTAATCCTTTTATAGAAGTTAGCAGCTAGGAATTATAATTGGCCCGATGCAGCGGTATTACTTATTAATAAATGGGCAAAGGCAAACTGATCTTGGATGGAAAATGCCTTGAGCAGAGTCCATCCGGAAGTAGCGATTAGATGTTTTCTCTCTTAGACAGACCTTAAAAAGACGTCTTAGTACGTGATCTAAGTGTTGAGCATTGAAAACAATAAGCTGTACTTTAAATGTTATGAGGAATAAAACACCTTCATTCCAAAAACCTCGAAAAAGTTTATTCGATAACATTCATATTTTAGTGAAATATTTCAGTTTATGTTAACATTTAAGAAGAAAACATATATATATACGCCGTGATAAGGGAAAAATAACGAAAAAGGCATTCGATAATTATCCATAGATTATGTGTTAATTCAGTGAAATAACGATTTTTATTTGAGTAATAAAAAAATTACTGTTCAAATTCAGCGAGTCAATTTGCATAAAAAAAAGGGTAGTGATATCTGATGTGTATTTTTTTTATTTTGTAAACCAGTGTTATTTTTTAAAGCACGCTACCCACCCTTAATTTGAAGTGTAAAAACATGGTTTGCACAATTAAATACAGTAGAGGCTGTGATCGTTCTAAAGTCATAAAATATTTATGGAAAAAAAGAATACAACATTTTTTTATTGACAAATTCAATTTTTACCTGTACATTTTTAATGTTTATGTTATTTTTGGGATTCTATAATAAATTATTAAAGTTAGTGGATTGAATTATGGAAAATTTAGTATTTATTTAAAAATTCTTAAGTAGAGTTACATTTCCTTCGATTAACTGTAAAAATTTGGTGATTTTATAACAATTTCAAGACACTGCATTGGTTCGATTCGCGCATAACTATTTTAATTGAAAACAATTGTTTTTATTTCTTTAAAACTAAAAAATGTCTGTGATAGTCTGACAAAAATAACTAATATTTGATACTCATTACTGTATTTAATTATATACAACATAGTTGAGGAATGCATTTTAGATTTTACGAATAATTATCTATAATTTACTCTTATTAATTGAGCGGGTAGAGTCCTCTTAAGTTTTAAAAATTAAAAAAGCACCTACTAGCTACAATAAATTAAAACGCATTAATAAGTTTTTATTATTATTTGTACAGTTTTTTGTCATAAGAAAAAACATAGCTTAAAACCTTTTAATCTAATATTTTAAATATATCATTAAAACAGTTTTCTAGCTAAAATAATAATTTTGACATTAATTATCGGACTGTATATGTAATTGTAATATTTTGACACATAACATAGTAATTGCTATTTGAAATAAATCTAACCGGGCATAAAAAATCCTGATTTAAAAATAATTATCTTAAACCATACAACAAAATAAAAAAAGTATGTGCCTTACTTGGGGATCACATGTGATAGGACGGTTTAAATAACCAACTTTTAAAAATATTGTATAAGCTTTCTCTTCATTGCCACATATATTTCTAATGTCAAAAGATCTAAAATTATAGCAATCGATGAAAAGTTCTTTACAAATATCTGCTTGAAAATATATCTGAAAATAGGTATATTACTTATTTTATACTTTGCCAAAATAAAGTCTATAAATTACTTTCTATAGTTTCTAAACATGTAAATTAGTTAATTACAAGTAAATAAATAAATAAAAAATGATTATCAGGACCTATTTCTTAAATCTAGTATTATGATGATATTGTCATATACAATACTTACATGAGTGAACTTAACTTTTTTGTAAATTATGTAA